ATCAATTATTAAATTAAATTCTTGAAAATCGTAAACAGGTTGGTGGGTCCAGGGATATTTTTTTGTCATTCACAATTACTTGATTTCTATAAGAAGAAAAAAAATACTTTGCAACAGTGTAGAAGTGTGAAGAGTATTTAAAAGGTATTTATCAAATTACTTTGCACATATTATGAGAATCAGGTGTTAACTCATATACATGTACTTAAACACATATTTAATACCCTTATGACTCCAAAGAGATGAGATGAAGGCTTTTAACAGCAAAGATTTTCCTGCAATTTGACTCTCAATTTGTAGATGATGACTTAGAATTCATTTATCATCAGTAAAAGTTTTAAGGAAAAAAAAGTAGACAAAAATGATAAAAGCCCTATGTAAAAGGCTTGGAGAGTAATATTTGATCTATTTTCATCAGAATCACGGAAGATCTTTCCAATCTCACTCTCAAATAGCATGTATTTTCAGTACTTTTGTATAGACAGGATAAAATGACTTCTTGGAACTGGATTCTAAGTTCAAGCTAGTGTACCTTGAATAAAATGTGGAATTGATTCTGTTTGCCCAGTGACTTTGGTAAAGTGTGAATACCTGAAATGAATCACGGGGAGGCCATACTAGGTATTACAGTCTGTCATCATCTTTAACCATTTTCATTTCAAATCATATTTTTGGTTGTGAAGTGAATTGGAATATTATTGACTTCCCTTCAGTAGGGGCACTAAGAATAGATTTCCCCAGATTAACACAAATGAAGAGTGTTGTTTGCTACAGAATTTGTGGAAAAGTGATGATCAAAGTGATGATCAAGACGAACAAGGCTTGTTCGTCTCTTTCGTAGAAACGGTGACCTACCGAATCAATAATCCAACTGAAAGGGTCTCTTCCCGCCCACATGTTAACTCTTTAAAGGTGTCTAAGAATGGCATTTCTGGGAAATGGAGGGTGGAATAAGGTGTTATTCATGTAAAGAGAGATTATACATTGATTCCAGCTTCAGAGATGTTATTAGGGAAGTGTTTTCCTAGTGACAGACCGAGGTCTTTGAAAAGGTCTATGTGGAATATTAGGGTTTTTATGTGGAAAGTAATTCTATTCCTAGCCTCTGTGATTTCAAAGGAAACCCTATTTTGAACATTCCCAGATTTATTTGTTTTTCCCAACTGTAAGGCAACAGAACAAATTTTTTAATGCCTTTTTTCCTTCTAAATTTAGATCCAGATTATGTTATTTTTTCTTTGGCTGGAGCTCTCTTTTGAGTTTGTGGATAGACTATTAAAGTCACTTTTTGAAATCCATAGCAAGAACTAGATAATAATTTCCTTCTATTTTTGGTTGATTCAAATTATATGAGGTTAATAATATTTTAATGTTTGTGTATTCTTTTTGTGGAAAACTGGGTTTACATTCAGGTTAGTTTCTCTCTATATTTTCATTACATTACAAACATCCCCCCCCAAAAAAAAAAAAAAAATAAATAAATAAATAAATAAGATTAAAAAAAAATAAAAAAATAAAGAGACATAATTCTATATTCAGTGTGTTGTCGGTCTGCAGTCGGTCTCATCTGTGTAACTGGCGTGTTAACTCATTAGATTATACTTTCAAATCAACAGTTTGAACCATTTAATAGCACATCTTCATCTGCAAGATTTAACCTATTTATCAAATGAAATAAAACAACATATTCACAGTAACAGTCAATAAAAAATATAGACTTTTGATTGATTGATCTAAGGTACACGTACTGTTTTATTTTCACAGTTGTTTTAAAAATGACGTAGAGATGATTTGAACACATCAATTTATTTTCCTTATGTTCCTTTGATTTCTGTGGGGGTGGGTGAGATTGAATTCGGTGTAAGATAAGTCGGCGAAGCTGGTATGAAAAATAATAATCGGGTAAAATTTTGGGTAGGTGTTAATGGAGAAAAGTGGTCTTAAATGTTTGATGTAATTCTTCAAAAACCATTTGGAGAAGTGGGTAAAAATCAATATAATGGATTATGAGTCAGGGTGGCTGGTACATTAACAGTTCCGGTAGAAAATGTGAAAAGTGATTTTGTCAAAGGTTAATCTTTGTTCAGTTTGTGTTGATAAAATAAATTCTGTTAATGTGGTTATGGTTTGTGCAATTTGAGTAATGAGAATATAATGAATTCATAGACAAAATGTAATACACTTTAACACAAATCCATTATGTACTTTACATGCTCACAACTCAAAAAATCACATATTATTCATACAGTGTACAGTATATACATTTACATGTACCTGGTGCATCTACTAATGTATACGTAACAGTGTCTCAATATGCTCAGATATTCTTTTTTTCTTCAATGCCTACTGTATTTTCTCTTTTCAGCAACACAACTAATAAGATGGGAGGTTTACTCGGGAAAACATGTTTAGAATAGTATATGTATATATAGTATATGTATATAATAGTATATATATATATGTATACATGCACATCATTGTTGTATATTTCTTTAAACCCACTGAAAAGCAAATGCTCTCATTCCCTCATTCCTTTGGGTATTATATAGGGACTGCACAGTGCCTGTATACATTGGGTTACATGTAACAAAATTTGTCTTATAATTATATTTAAATGATTAAATAGTTGATAAAAACTACCTTCTGATGATAAAAGGAAGAGGAGAGTTGCATATTAAAATGCTCCAAGATAATGTCTGTTTGGAGCCAAAAGGGCATTAACTCTGTGTAAAAGTATATGAGTTAACATCCTTCTGGCTCCAAACAGATGATATACAAGAAGAAGTAAAATCTGACATAATTATAAACTGCAGTTATGATGGAGGGGAGGGAGGGGGGGGGGTGATAGTAGAAAATTAAAAGGGAACAAAAATCAGAATGCTGTGAGTTGCATGCATCCACAGCAGTAATTATGGATTAATATCTGATTTTCATTTTCATTTCTTCTTCTGGGCTTCCAATCACTCTCTACGGTGGTAATGCAGCATACGGTAGAGAAATCAGAGAAGACGAAGCGTGACCGCGAATACGGGATAACACTAACACATTCGTGACTGGGCCTTCCAATGGAACACTCCACCCTGCCTGTGCACATGTGCGTTTAGTCATGAACATGGGGGTTGGTTAAAAGAGGAGGCCCTATGAGATTGAATTCTGTGCGGTCTTGTAAGAAATGATTAAAGATTACAGAGACTTTATTTATTGCAATAAACCAATGCAGATATTACAGGAGGAGATAATATCTATTGAACAGTTATGAATTTTAAATGAAAATAATAATCTCTGGGATTGGTAGTTGTAAAGGTTTCATAATCTTCAATGAATGTTACTCTTTTAATTGGCAACATAATGATGTTCCATATGGAATGTTTTTTTCTCATAGTGAAAGAATAAAAAATATAAGACGAGGGGAGAGCAATTCTGTCTATACGTCAAAAAGGGTTATAAAAATGAGGAGAAAGATTTATACAGATATTATTCCTAGCTCTATATTTATCTCAATGTTCAATTCATTCCTAAATCCAAAAGCATTCTCCAATACATGACCATTTGATGTAATAATGCTTCTATTTAACAATGTCTTTCTTAAATGTAGTCCTCTTCATGTTTTCAATCATGTAAATACATTACAAATAAAATTGGGCATTCATTTAATCTATTATTAGAACTACATGTACATATCATTACGAGCATATTGTCAGTAAATATACCCAATGATTATTAAATACAAACTTTCATTAAACGAGAACCCATGATCAAACTACCACCCTTTTCTATTGCTATTGGTCCCATCCTCCGCTAAATTGATATCTGTGTGAGTATGTAGCGATCCGTCTATTGAATTGGCAGCGTCTGTTTTGTTGGGTCGCGCGAGTCGGCGTCTATTGTGTGCATAATTTCTGCATTGGAGCTGCTCCCGCGATCATGGAATTATAATTTGAGTTTATTTATAGACGTGGATGATTTGCAGACATGATGCGGTTGGTGTGTTGTGTAAAAGCGCTGTTTATGTCTCTCTGTCTGTCTCTGTCTCTATATCTTTAAATATCTCTTAAAGGCAGTGTATACAGTGAAGCATGATGAGGGCTACCGTAAGAAGTGTGGTCCTTTCCATCGCAGTGATATCGACTGCTTAAGAGAGATATTTGCCTAAAATCTACTGGGGAAATATTTGGCAAGAGTTGTGAAAATCAAATATGAAAATGAGAACATTGTCAAATTCATAATGCAGTTGAGTGTTTTATTTTTCTTTCACATCTTGTAATTTTTTAATTTAGAGATTCCATTGAATATTGTTGAGACTTGCCCTTTTTATCATCTGAAGTCTAAGAAATCTAACAAGAAAGTGTGAGTGTAGTGGCTAAGGAAAATTATGTATGAAAATCATAGTGTCATTTTCTTTGTAAGTTTGATCAGAATAAGGAACCAAAATCAATAAGTAAAAGACAAATTATTCAAGTTGTTTTATTTCTTGCATAATGTAATTTGAATTGCCTATATACATTTAATTTTTTAGAATGTTTATTTAAAATTACTACATCTATTTTGATTATGTGTGCTATATAAATTTATCCAAAAACTTCAGATATTTTGTTAATGTCAGTGATCAGTACACCTATCCCTATATGTTATGTACACAAACGAACAAACAAAACTTCTTCTTGATATCTTGTCTCTTTAAGATACATGCACTTGTTAGTTGAAGTATGACTAGTTTAGAACCTCATCACCTTGTAAAGAAGATGGTTAGGTGTGATGGCTCAGTGGTATAACAGTAAGTCTCATAACAGAGAGATCCTGGGTTCAATACTACTGTACTAAGCCAAATTGTTTTGTCCTTTGGTAAGGGTAAAAACCTACATAACCAAGTCCTTCAGCACGAGCTAAAACATGCTTGTGTTCTGATTTCTTGTCTACAGTAGATTTCTTAACTGACTAGTAAAATAGAATGATTTTATCATCATAATTTTATTTTTATTTTATTTTTTCCCTCCTTGCAGAAAAAGTCTCGTCAGGAAAGCAAAGGGGCTGGGAGCGGAGTGGAGATACTCATTAACCAGCCCTATGAAGATGGCCCGGGAGGCACTGGGCAGTATACCCACAAAATTTTCCACATAGGTAGTCATTTACCAGGTAAGAGACTAACAGGACTAGCTCTGAACAGATTATCAGGTGATTATTACAGTGTTAAGGCATTATTCCTAATAACCGAGTCGCTCAGAGAGGACTTCAAGCATCAGTCCACTGGTTGCTTACCCATAAGCATACAAACAAGCAAACAAACATATACATGTAGAGTGTTAAAGGGATCGTTTAACTATGTTAAATCTGAGATACACGGCCTTACGTGTTATCAGTGTCTGTGATATGGTGTAATATTGAAGCCCTAAAAAAAATGCGCTTCAAAATGATCAAGAAGTGCCTCAAAAAAGTAAAAATCTTCGAGTGACCGGTTTTACCATACTCGTTTTCCCCAATAGACTGTAGTGTTATGAAAACCGTCAGGCGAAAGGCTTTCAAAATTTGTAATTCCAATCATAAATATCTTGATAATCAGACAGGCGATCGGCTTGTAAAAGTCATGGGGTTCCTGACTGACCTAAAGGTTTGTAATTATCATTGCATCATGAGCTAAATCCAGAATTTTGTTTTAGAATCTGAGACAAAGTTACCGGATCCATTTAAGTTGATTTTTTTTTCTTATTATTATGTGGTATATGACCTATATGTACTGACCCCTCTCCCAACACTGTCACATGTTTAGGGACTTTTACTGACATAGAGCCTGGGGAGCCTGGGGAGTAGTCATGTGGAGCACTTTGGAGGCTGCCTGTAGACTCATCTGTTCAAACAAATTTGCCAATCCTGACCTTTTCTGAAGAGCCAAAAGCTCCACATTTCTTCACATTATGGGCTAAATAAAAGGTTGTAAAAGAAAAAATAGTCTGCTAAGATACAGAATGTTGTTAGCTCATACATGTACCGTAAATAGTTTATCACAAAGACCTTTCCTGAAGAGCCAAAAGCTCCATATTTCTTCACATTATCGGCTAAGAAAAAAGTTGCAAAAGGAGAAATAGTCTGCTTCTAAGACGCAGAGGGGTGTTAACTCATATCATTTATCACATAGACCATCTCTGAAGAGCCAAAGGCTCCAAATTTTCTTCACATTATGGGCTAAGAAAAAAGTTGTAAAAGAAGAAATAGTCTGCTCAGATACAGCAGGGTGTTAACTCATATAATTTTAACTTTTGAGCTGTGTGTCCTCTTTATTTTCTCATGTGTATTAAAAGTAATGATCCAAAGTATTGCTCTGAAAAGTGTACACAAAATAGGACTTCAAACAATGTTTCCCTTATTCCCAAGACGTCATGATACATTTTCATTAATTTCCTTAAAAGTTCAGTTACTCTTGAACCATTTTGCATTTCACGAGATAATCCGCCCGATTGGATTGCTTATGTCACGCCGCTGAATGGCAGGGTGTGAAACGGGCCGCTAAAGAGATTTATGTTATGATGACATCATATGTAAACATGTAGTAATGGAATGTGATGTCATAAAGTCCACTCTGTGGTGCTCCTAAACTGCAGGATTGCTTTAAAGGTACTATGTCCCATTTGCAGGCCAAAAAATGAAAAAGTTGAATTCCAACTGCATTTGAAAGATCATACTAATTTAGAACTTCCCTAAAAAAGGTAGAGCTTGAACATGTCTTTAAGTGGGAAAATAATGACTATTAGTTGTCAAATCGACTTTAGGGCTATAGAGCCCAAAAGTAATAGTCTTGATTTTCAGACAATTGTACCGAATGGTCATACGTTTTATGCTGCGCAAAGATTCAATCAGTTTAATCTTGGCCATCGCAAGAAGTGGGTTATTGATGTAGACAAATGCTCATGTACCCTTTACAACTCTTTTCATGTATGTTATTACCAAAGAAGAAAAAAGGCCAGTCAGTCACTTAATAGTGTCTGACAGTGAAGTCTAGCAAGTAAACGGGTTTCCTTGCATAATTTGAATATGAGGACACTGCTAACGTTTAAATTTTACAGATAAGACATTTATGACATATTCATAATTCCTGCAAAGTTCTACAGAATTTGAGGTTGGCTGCAAAAGGGACATAGTACCTTTAAAGGCGAGGTAGTACATTATTTGTATCTTGCCAAATGAAATGTGAGGAATTTATATCGACTAAGGTTTTTACACAAAATCGTAAAGGCATGTTTAAAGCTATAACTATTTCTTCTTTCATAGCTATTTCCATGGTACTTTTAAACTACTGGTGAAATGAAATGTTAGGAATTTTTCACTTCCAACAAGGTCTTTAAAGGAGGCCCTCTCGTCTCTCTCGTAAGATTGCTTCCTCACAATGTCGTGAAATTCCACTCCATTGTTCCTTTTAAGACCAATGATGTAATTTTGCACTTTCAACTAATATTGTGTTATTCACTCAGTTTTAACTTCCAAGTTGATTTAATGAGATTTATACAAATATAAAGAAAACCATTCTATTTTTCACTTTCAAATTGATTTAAGGTAATTTCATACTTTATCTTTCCTTCATTTTTTTGCCATGTCCAGGTCAATTCGATTGGGAGAAATATATGAATTCTCACTTTTAAATAAAATTTACATCATTCCTCCTTTTTTGTTCCATTTCCAGGTTGGTTTCGTGCAATATTACCGAAAACAGCATTACGGGTTGAAGAAGAGTCATGGAATGCGTACCCTTATACGAAGACGCGCTACACGTGTCCATTCATCGAGAAATTTTCCTTAGAAGTAGAAACGAAGTACTTACCGGATGCGGGTCATCAGGATAACGTTTTTAATTTGTCCAGTGCAGAGGCTAAGAGTAGATATATAGGTGAGTAGATTCATTTACAATAGTTTGTTTATTGTAAAGCAGAATTGATTACTTCTCTTTTTCTTCAAAATTACAAAACTGTTATTTTCTTTATTACTACTGCAGTCAAACCTGTCTTAGCAGCAACCGCTATATACAGACCCCCCCCCCCCCCCTCTATAATGGTCACCTGTATTGCCTTCAGAAGGAAACATGCATGTGTTGAAGAACTTGTCTATAAAGGCCACCTGTCTACAGTGGCCTCTTTTTGTGCTTCCCTTGGGTGGCCTTATTAGACAGGTTTGACTGTATTATGGTTTGGATAAAAGTTTGCACATCTAACAATAATAATTGTGTACACGTACATGTACATAGACAGGAAGTATGTTTAAAGTTGAAAAATTGCCATTTTATATGGAGAAAACAAACTGTCATTTGGAAGCTTTTCAACATGTTGCCAATTCCGTATCTGAATTAATTACTGTATACTCTATGTTGAAATAATTGTTACATATATCATGTATATATACATTGTGTTTTATATTGTGCTGTTGAGAAGGAAATAAATGTTAATAAATACAATACAATACAAATTCAAGGATATTAAAGCTTCTTTTTTTTTAATTCCTGACAATAAATGCCATATGGTAACAGAAAAAAAATGGTAACAACAAATTGTGGACAGTATTTTTAGAATTTATTTCTCTTTATACTCAAGAATCTGGTATATTTTTAGGGCTTTAATCAAAAGTTAGTGAGCTTGAATGCAGTGTAGATGGATCAAAAATTTAAACAATTTGAAAAATCTATGTTTTTAATTCTTTTGACTTATACCCGCACTATTTGTTAACTTTAAACTGAGTGCAGCTACTTTGCCTAAATTTGCCACTTACAAATTAATGTGAAGGAAGATGAGCTTTCCCCACCTTATACTGGATATTTATGTATACTCTATTTCACAACATTAGACCATGTCAAATATATTATATTATTGAATGTTGAATTGTATATCTGATTTATTGTCAAAATTACTGTTCTGTTGGAAATGAAAAATAAAACTGAAACTGAAACTAAGCGCCGCTTCTCTCTTTGCCTCTGCAGATTTAATTGACTTTGTAAATGACCCCATCAGCATCGACTACGTCAAAGAGGACGATCCTCGGACCTTCCAGTCCAACAAAACCGGGAGGGGCCCCCTCAACGATGACTGGAGGGAGGTGAACGAAGATGGCGAGTTCTTGCCCAAGTACGGCTGTACGGACGTCATGTGCGCTTACAAGCTGTGCAGGGTAGAGTTCAGGTACTGGGGCATGCAGAACCGGATCGAGAAGTTCATCCATGATGTCGGTAAGTTTCAAGTTATCTCTCTATTTTTATGCCTCTGTTACGAAGTAGCCAGAGGCATTATGTTTCCAGGTTGTCCATCCGTCCGTCCATATGTACGTCTGTATGTCCCGTTCTCGTGATCGCGTTAACTCAAGAACCGATTGATGGATTCCTGCCAAGCTTGGGTCATGTATGTATCTTGCTGAGCTAATGAACTGATTAGATTTTATATCTTCCAGTTTGAACGGTTGAAGTTTGCGGTCAAACAGCCCATGAGACCGATTGATCTTCTTGTCGGTCTCGTGAACCCTTAGGAAACTGGTCAGAGGGCCCACGAGGCCGACGTGTTGATGCATTGGACCGTTGATCTTGAGGAACCTTTCAAATACTTTTCAGAAGGCCTGCCATGCCAACATTTGCTCTGGTGACCTTTGCTCCAGGTATTATTTCCTCTCGGATGTGTACATGTAGGGTCAGACTTTACTTTGCTTTTGAAGTTTAGGTCAGGTTAAAGGTTTGAGTTAGGGTCAGGTAAATGTTCGTCGCTGTTTTCACAAAGTGACGGTAGTGAAAAAAAATTTCATTCATTTTACGTGACGATTTTCCTCACTACCGTCACTTTGTGAAAACAGGGACGATATGTTGAATGGTTGTGCACATAACATACCGTAGGCCAAAATAAGTGTATCAGCAACTGGCATGTATAGTATGATTGTGCGGATTGTCTTCTACTTCTATGTGATCCCAATTGATTGTTTGACTCTGAAATAGGAAATGATGTTTAAAGAAGTTGTTTATCCTCTGATATTTGGGTACTGAGGCATGCTGATTGGAAACGTAGTCGATAATTTTTGGTAAGAGGTTTAGGAGTAATCTAAATGACTGAGTAAAGGGTGAGGGAGAGGAATATAGATGGAAGGAAAGAAAGAGAGAGAGAGAGAGAGAGAGAGAGAAAGAGAGGGAGAGAGAGAGAGAGGGGGGGGGATTGCTCCTAGCTTTCAAGAGAGTGCCCACAAAAAACATCTGTAGAAACAAATGCTAGAAAAGTGATGTTAAGAGAGAATGGAAAAAGGGAGTAATTATTAGAAATAGAAGGAATATGCAATGTTTGTATACAACCTTGAAAAATTCCTAAATGAAAAACTGTTGGATTAAGGAGGCAGATATGGAAATAAGAGATTAAAAGAAGAGAGAGAAGAGAAGAGAGAGAGTGAGATAGAGAGAGAGAGGGGGAGGGGAGAGAGGGGGGGTGAGACGGAGAGAGAGAGAGAGAGAGAGAAAAGGAGAGAGACAGTAGGGAGAGAAACAGAGAAAGATAAAGAAAAAAATGAGAGGAGTAGGATAGATAGTTGGTTTAAATCAGAACCTTATCAAATATCGCACTGCGGAAATGGCGCGTTAATGATATCTGTCTTAACCTTCTTCGTCCTTCAATCTAACAGCATTTAATCCGCCCCCATATCCTGTGCCTAGCAGTATATAGGAATGTCCTCTAGGTTCAGACAATATAAGAATATAAATAGACATAAAGTCGGCTGCATTTGTATCCTTGTCTGGTGGTGATGCCTTTTTAGTACTTCTATTTTTAATCCTTCTTTGCTTCTATCTTGAAAGCTATTAGCGCTCTTTAGATCTATTTTTAATATCTTGTTTTCTTCCCTTTCTCCTCTTCTCTGTCCTCGCTTCTCCATATCCATCCTCTCCCTTCCTCTCTCTTAAAGGTAAAGACCAGTTTTGGAAACGCCCCCCTCTCAAAAAATGAAATGGAACCTCTTATTACCAATCATGTGAAAGAATATATTTTGACTAATACGTGGTGATACAAATTTTGCCGGGAAACTGCCTACTAATTGATATATTTGGTAAATTATCATGTCGATCCGGCCTGGATAGATATCGCATAGTCTCATATACATCTTTCTGTGTACAGTGCTTGTAACTTTACCAACACTGGGCCAAACTTTTTATCATTTTGATGATTCCAGAACCTTGCCGTACACACTTATACTTATATGCTAGATGATCAACCTTTTCTAATCGATTCCACAACGTTTCTTTCACATGACCAAAACTGGTCTATACCTTTAAATCTTTTTGAATTTTTATCTCTCCTCTCTTTCTACCAACCCACTTTTTGCTCTTGTATGTACTCTTTTTAATTTTCTTTGTATTCAGTTGATATCTTTCTTATTTTTATTTTGCAAACCAATCTGCACTATTTTGCTGCCATGAGGTAACTGAGCCTTGTTTGCAAGAGCACCCATACCTTGATTTTTGGTTTATATTTAAATTGTAGCATGACATTTTCATCTCAGTGTAGAACATTTCTTGCCAGATGTTAGAGAGCCTTGCCTGACCCATTATCGCAAATTGGTATTTTGTTGTCTTTTTTTTTTGGCTTTAACCTGTATTGTCCCCTTAACAATTCTTTGTAGACTGCCTTAGATCTGGGAACGAAATGAAATTTTTATAATAAGAAAATTGAAAATGGCCACATTAGCCTGGCTTCATCGACAAAAGCCATGTTTTTAATCTTTCCTTTTTTATATTTCTCTTTTTAATGGCTAAGGTCTTTTACCATCTGTTGTTATGCTTTTTTTCCCCTATGCTTCATGTACACATTAGAATGCAAAACCAAGGGCATTATGAATATGAGAAAGAGGATCAGAATTAATTTACTGGTCTGTCTCTTCCATATAAATTCTTTCATCCCTCTAGACCTTTGCCTGCCCCCCTCACCCCACATTCTCCCCCTCCGGACCCAATAACTCTTCTTTTTCATTGTTTGGAATTCATTTGTTGCTCCTCCACCCTTCAAGTTCAAGTACTGCCACAGGAATCTAGGTTAGGTCGAAATAGAAATTATCCCTGTTTTACCGTCTCCTCAGCTCTCGATCTATCTTGCCCACACTTTCTTAGCCTCTCTCTCTCTCTCTCTCTCTCCATTACACACCTTTTTAATCCCCTCTCTTTTCTGTAGTCTCTTCCTCAAGTCTTACTTTATCACCATCTTTTCTTTTTCTTTCCATCATTCTCTCTCTCTCTCTCTCTCTCTCTCTCTCTCTCTCTCTGTGTCTTGCTTCTCTCAAATTCTTGCTATGTTTCTCTTGCTCCCTATTTTATTAATACTTATTTTGTCACTTTCGTTATCTTTTCTCTCTCCCTCTTCCTCATATCCAGTTTGCTTTAGGAAACCTTTGGTAGCTCTCGCTTTTGTCTTCTCTCTCTCTCTCTCTCTCTCTCTGTTGCATTTTATCTCAATTCAACACCTTCTCTCTCATTTTCTCCCCTCACATCCATCTCTCCATGTTTTGTTCTTGCCTCCCTGCTTTCCAATCCGCAGGCAGCCGATGAGGCGTTCAGAGACCTTCTTCATTGCCTGTTGACGTCTGTCAGATAATTCACTGCAGGCACATCAGGCTATAACATGATTAAACAGTCCTGCGAAAATGACTTTTTCTTTCTTTCTTTCTTTCTCTCTTTCTCTCTTTCTCTCTCTCTCTCTCTCTCTCTCTCTTTCTATACCCTCTATCTCCATATCTCTCCTTTTGTTTCTGTTTATCTATATTTTACTCTCTACCTCTACCTCTCTACTTATATCTACCACTCTCTACATCTTTCTACCAAGCTCTCTCTCTCTCTCTCTCTCTCTCTCCCACCTGTCTCTACATCTCTCTACTTCTATCTACATTTTTTTTGCCTCTCTCTGCCTCTCTCTCTCTCTCTCTACATCTCACTACTTCTATCTACATCTTTCTGCCTCTCTCTCCCTCCGTCTCTACATCTCTCTCTACTTTTACTTACCTGTCTCAACATCTCTCTCCCTCTGTCTCTGTCTCTACATCTTTCTGCATCTTTCTACCTTTCTCCCTACCTCTCTATGCTTTCCTCATGAAAATACTTTACTTTATACCTTATATTATCTGCTTAGAGCCAGAAAGGCGTTGATGCTTTAAACACACAGTCGATGCCCTTCTGGCTCTCTATAAAAGGATGATAGTGTGTCCAACGTAAAGTGTTGCATCTGATACAGTCATTTTGATATGATACAGTATAAGCTGTGAGTAAGCTGTGAGGATCAGCTGATACAGTAAGCTGTGAGGATGGAGTTGCAATGGATGGAGTGTGTACAAGGCTGTTGTTTTGTGAAAATGTATACCTAAAGAATTTGACTCTCAGATCTACGATTAAATGTCTATAACTTTTGCTCACCATCTGTATGGATTGATGTATGACAGGAAAAGCCTCCATTGAGGGCTAGAAGGCCATTTTCTTGTATACTTTATCAAAGAGTTAATGCCCTTCTGGCTCTTAAAAGTTTGAGTTGTTCACAGTATATGGATTGATGTGTACACAGACGACTAATCACTTCAACATACTTTGTGTGCGGCTAGAACATGTATGAACTATATACAGTGAAAAAAATACATGGGGTCTCGGGGCGAATTAGCCCCCAAAATGCCAAAAAGAGGAAGGCTTTCACTAACGCGCGCAATGCATCGCTAACCCTGCGCAAGGGCTTGAACCCATCGCAACCTATAAAGTCATAAAAGAGCCCTAAAAATGTGCATAGAGTTCAATGCAAAACAAATTAAAGATTGTTATTTTCATGCAAGCAAGCTTGAAAAGTAGCCCCCAAAATTTTCAAGTATTTTTTTCCTGGCTATATAAGTAAAAACCAAACACAACCCCAACAGTTTTACCCAGCATCCTATGGGCTATCATATATTGTCTGTTTGGAGCAAGTAAGGTGTTGAATCATACTTTAACACTCAGTTAATGCCCTTCGGGCTTTGAAAAGATGATATATAGGGAACAAAGTTTTCTCCAGGCTCTATTTAATTTTCACTTTGTCTGTTGTTCGTTCACTTGCAGACTTAATAACCTCAAGGGCAGTGATGATATAATAATAGTTTAAATTATTAAATGGGAAAGTATTAATAGTATATATGGTATAACGTAATGGTGACGGCAAACTTTTTTAACATTGAAATATATTGCAATAATTTGTTTTGATATTTATACCATACTTTGTTTTAACTTTAACCTAATACTATGTGTTATTGCGTACAAATGTCAACTACATGTATATATATATATATTTTAATTGTGGGTTTTTGTTGTTGTTTGTTTACAATAGTTTTAATTATAAACTGGGAAAGTATTTAATTGTATACATTTTATAATTACTCAATGGTGACGGTAAACTTTTTTTAACATTGAAATATTCGCAACAATTTTATAAATATCTATAGCATACCTTATCTTAATTTGAACTTCGTATACTATGAAATGTACTGTATCGCCTTTTTATTGCATGTCCGAATTATCTCTCATATTATAATGTGCATTTATTGTTGTTTTGATTGACATTATTATTGAACCATGTATGTTGTAAAGGGCCCTGATGAAAACCAGCTCATGCTGATCGGGCTACCCTTTTTAAAGATGTGAAATAAATAAATAAATAAATAAATAAATAAAAAAAATTATTGATACAAGGAAATTTCCTATATACTTGTCTGCCCCGTTCTCAATTGCTTATCAAGCGTTCTTACATTATGGAAGTGTGTGGAGTATCTAGATGAAAAGGCTCCCAAAACAACCCTGCTGTTAAAAGAATTATTGTGTAGAATTATCTTGTTAAATGAGAAGGAAATCTTTTTGAAAGTGAGGACTTTGCAAATCCTTAAGTTCCATTCCTGAAAGTCACATGTATAGTGGAAAAAGTATATGGTATAACAATGACAAGTGTTACTGAAATATTGTAATGTCAGAAAAGAAGAAAAGAAGACCATTCTTTCAATTTTGCCATATGAATAGGGCATTGGCTATTTTGCAATTTGTGATAGCTAATAGTCATTTGTCCCTGTGAATTGTATTCCCCCTCAGAGAATGTGGCCAGAAACTTGATTACCAAACTTTAATTACAATAATGTAAACATCTCTTTCTTTCGATCTCTTTCTCCTTGACCCCCATCTTCCTCTCCTTTTTCACTCCATCTCTCTTACTTTCCCTCTCCCCTCTCTCTTATTATCCCTCCCTTCTCTCTTTCTTATTATCACTCCCTTCTCTCTCTCTTAATATCTATATGTATTACTCACTTTCTCTTTCTCTCTCTCTTCCTACCTATCTATCTCACATTCACTATGTTTTTCTTGCTCGTTCCCTTACCCTCTCTCTCTCTGTCTGTGTCGTTGTCCACTTCTCTCTCCCCATCCATCTATCTCTGTACCTCTTGTTTCCAAATTGTCTCCCCTTCTCTCCCTTGTCCTCTCCCCCTGTCTGTCTGTCACTCCCTCTTGCCTTCTCTCTCCCTCCCCCTCTCTCTCTCTCTCCCCCACTCTCTCTCCCCCACTCTCTCTCTCCCCCTCTTCCCTCCCCCCTCCCTCCCCCCTCTCCCCCCCCCCCTCTCTCTCTCCCCCTCTCCCTCTCACAGCTCTGAAGAAGACCATGTTCCTAGCCCACCGGCAGGCGTGGTGTTGGCAGGATGAGTGGTACGGCCTGTGCATAGATGATATCAGGGAGCTTGAGAGAGAAGCTGCTGAAGAGCTTCAGGAGATGATGGCTGAAGCTCACATGGACGAAGAGATACCGGTACAGAATGTCCTCAACAGGTAAGAAGCTTAAAACTGCTTTTGGATGATTGCCGGTGTTAAATATGTCCAGTATTACATTTTTATTTTATCAATTTGTGAATGCTCAGCTAAAAATGTTACTCCTTTTGTTTCCAAAATGTAATTCAGTGTTTTATCATCTTTTTAATGTCTCTTTTACATATTTCCTATATCCTTTAAAAAATGTTTTTGATGTTGTATTGTGTATGTTTCTAAGTATTCAATTGACTTTTGATACATCATATTCAGCTTAACATTTAAAACAACCTACACTCTACCTAGCAAAAAATATGAAGTGAAGATATACCCCCCCCCCCCAAAAAAAGGGGGGGGGAGGAAGGAAAAAGATAAATAAATAAAATAAATAAAATAATTAAATACAAACAAATAATAATAATAATAATAAATAATAAATAAAGATTAACAAAATAATAATGATGATAATAATTTGGAAAGAAAAGATAATAATATTAATAATTTGAAGAAGAAAAAATTGATTGTTCAATTATTTCTCACAAAGTAACATATTGTTTGCCAATCAGCCACATATGTAGAAATAAGGTATCTGAAAAACAAAAGGAGTTGAATGTCTCTAATTACACTCCAAACTAAAATCCCTGTGTCTGAAAATATCAGCTATACTTTTCCAACAGTCTAGAAATTGATTTATGCCCAATCAACTACAAAAGAATCTTTCCAAAATATGTAAAAGTAAATGTTTATGGTAAATCAAGGTGTTGAAATCATAAGTTTTGGTAGTCTGTATGGAGGTGTACGGAGAGCAAAGAAATTCTGTAGGGGTGAATTCCAAAACTCTGAACCTGACAGACTTTACGTGATACATGCAGTCATCCGATCCGCATGATTATGTTTTGACTGCCATTTAAATTCCACAAGTGAAGAGGATGATGTTTGAATTCTTGCGGCTGACGTCACATTAACGTGGTATCATACGGACTTCTAAACTGTTTTATTCATGCCTCGAGATGTACTCTGTCCGACCAGAGGCACAATACATTCACCACGAATGAGTCATCTAGACCATTTTTTTTTACCATTTTAGTAGTCTTGTATACTTCCCATTCAAACATTTACAAAATGGTGGATTTTAATGAAACACTGTATGACTCTGTAAGATTTACTGTGATTTTTCTTGAAACTTTAGTATTCCAATTTGTGCTCATCTGAATACTTTTATTCCTGTATTCTCTTGTAACTTTCCATTCAAATGTTTTTTTTTAAATTTGATTGGTAAATTTTGACTAAACATACACTGTTAGAGACATAATTATTTTCTCTTGAAACTTGAGGTTCCCACTCATGCACTTCTGGACTGTTTCATTCTTGAAGTCTCTCATACTTCACATTCAAACTTAAAGAAATTAAAATGGGTGGATTTTGGTGAAACACGTACATCACTCTTCGATATGCCATTAGCTTTTCTTGGAATGTAAGATCCCAGTTTATTCTCCTCAATTTTCCCTCACCTTCACAGAATTGACAGTATGGATTCGAAAAAGTGAACCGTTTGAACTGTTTTAGTTTGAACTAATTATATTCTTTTGTCTCTTGTAAGGAGTTAAAAATAGAAGCTCTACATGTACAAGGCTATGCATCTTCGTATCTGTCATGCATTCGGTGGATTTTGGATAAAACATCTCACAACAGTCTTAGTCAAACTGATTTTTTTTCTTGAAATGTAAGATGCCACCATTCATCTCCTTGCTTACCTCCCTTACTCCTGCAGAATTGACAGTATGGCATCGAGAAAGCGCTTTGAGCACAGTAACGGTTCCGCGACCACCACATCGGAGTCGGAATCGGAGAGCAGGCTAGACCACGGGAGATTAGACTCCGTCGGTAGCGATTTTGGATTAGATGAGACAGTATTTTCGAAACACGGGGAGAGCTCAGCAAAGTGTGCCGCTGCCAAGGCCAAGAGAAGGTTATCAAGTAGATTATCATCAGAAAGTAGGGGTGAGTTTCTTTTCTTTTTGATAATTCATGTATTTCCTCTTGTTTAAAAAGTACCCTTTTTGTCAAACGGTACAAATCATATAACAATTTGTGTTTGTAGCTAGAATGTATTATAGGTGAGTTTACATTTATATTGTAATATTTTGTTGTTGTTGTAAAGTTTTATTTCTCTAGAAGCAACTCTTTTGAATGATTATTTAACTTTGAAAATCTTTTTTTTTTAAAGAAATGGTATGTACAAGAATCCGTCCAAAAGATGATGATAATTAAGAATATAAAAACAGGTTTCTAGCAGTGGTCTAGGACGTTTTTTGAAGTCACCCCTGCGGTTTTAATATAGTAATGATCTACGGGCACCTTTATCATGGTACAGATTAAATGTTCATTCTTATCGAAAAATGTAAATCACTTTTCTTTCAGTAAGATGTTGATCATATTGCATAAATCTCTCAGGGATATTTTGCCATACTGTACTTTTTAGTAAAATTGAGGGAAAAAATGAGTCCAAATAGTTAGATGGTGTCTTTAAGATAAATAATAGAAATACCTGTATTGCAAATTCCAGCGTATGCAGAGCGTAAACCTCAAGGCTTTGAGGTTGTGGTTATGAATAATTTGACAACCAAAGAAGAGAGCTATTAAAGATACCTCTCTGTCTTTACTGTGGCTTGAACTGTGTCGTTTTTGTCTTAATATCCTCAAGATTGTATTTACTAAGGAGCCCTCTAATATACAGGGATGCCAGTTTTCAGGCAATAGCCTGAATTCAGGCCCTGGTGAGTTCTTTTCAGACCATAGTTAAGGCTTTTTTGTGTACAAAATAGCTCATTCTAGTTGATTTTCAGACTCTCTGATCAATTCGAACTGGCATCCCTGAATATATTATTTGTAGATGTTATCCATGCTTTCTGAACAGAAATTGCTGGTTGGAGGGTTTATCTTGAGGTGTATCCTACATAGCAACATCCCATGTTCAAAGTGACAATCAAAAGCAATTTACTCATAATTTGAAATTGCAGAACTAATTGCCCTGTTGCTACATGCATGTTAGCAGATTAGACTAGTCCATTAAAGTGGATGTATTATGGTGAAGTCTATTGCCTCTCGGGGGGGGGGGGGGGGGGGGGTTGCAGTGAAGGCACAGGATATGAAGTTATTGAAGAGCCATTTTTGAGAAGCAGAATATTTTGAAGATCTATTTATCAGTAATTTAAGAACCTTGGCAAAATGCTGTGGCATAGCTTAAGCATTGAGTTACCATGTGCCTACAAAGCACTCTTCATTCCCATACCAGTATGGGAGTAGGATTACTGCAGGTAGCACATTAAACTATCCTCAGCCCCTTGAGTCACTAGCTGTATCATCATCTAGTGAAAGAACTGAGTGGTCCCAACCAGCTTGCTCCCACCCCATCTCCCCCAGTGGCTAGACACTCCGATTAACAGATAATGGATGGTAGCAATATTGCTCAATATCTCCTTGAGTAACCAAGCAAGTAATTGCGACATGTGACAAAGATGAAATATTCAAAGGAGAGAAACAAGGTCTCATCCATCTTGCCACCTGACACGGCCGGGAGAAGGCCGTGGTGATGTCAAGTTCTTCTGTGATGAGCTGTGTGGTGGTGATGCGGTCCCCCTCTTGTCCCTTCTTCAAGTTCTTTGATGAGATGTAGGATGGTGATGCGATTATCCTCCTCCTTCTCTTTGTTCTCTTCCTCCTCCTCTTTGTTCTCTTCCTCTTCCTCTTTCTTCTCTTCCTCTTCCTCCTTCTCTTTCTTCTCTTCCTCCTCCTTCTATTTCTTCTCTTCCTTCTCCTCCTTCTCTTTCTTCTCTTTCTCCTCCTCCTCCTTCCCATATGAAAGATGATTTGAAGAAAAAAACTGTCCAATTCATTCTGCTACTGACAACGGATGATTATGTTGATGTCAAATTCTTCTGTCATGAGATTTGTGGGTTTTGATGCACTCCCTCCTCCCCCCTTCATCTTCCATTCTACATAAAAAGATGGATTTATAAGGGTCAGGTCTGTCCATTTCACCAACTGACTGAGGGGTGACCACATTATCGTCAGGTTCTTCTGAGATGAGATTTGTGGTGGTGATGCAATTTCTTCTCCTCCGTATCACCCTCCTGGCATGAGAGGTGCAATTACAAAGAGACAAGGTCCACATTCAGTGTATCAACTAACAACAAAGATTGTGTTGATGTCAAATTCTTTTGAGATGGTATGATTTTACTTCCCCATATCTATCTAGTAATTTGTTAATGTTTCTGACTGATTTATTAAATTAAATTTTATCCCATTCTTACAATCTTTTGCATCTCTGAACAAGCGTTCTGAACACATGTGTGCAGTCAGTGGCTTTTAAATGAATTGGTTTTAAAGCACACTTAATGAGCATTCATTACATGCCTTGTACTCATCTCTTTCATGTTAATTAATTGATCATGTTCTGTCAAGCATTATCTTTCAATCGATCCTCTGTCGTCTGCATGTCCAATCACTCCATCATTATGTCTGCCCTATATTTCTCTCTCTTTTTTTCTCTCTTTTTTTCTCTCTCTCTGCCCCTCTCTCTCTCTCTCTCTCTCTGCCCCTCTCTCTCTCTCCCACTCTCTCCCTCTCTCTCTGCCTCTCTATAGCTATGTTTCTCTATCTCTGTTTCCCTTTCTCTCTCTCTGTCTCTCTTTCTATGTCTCTGTCTCTCTCTTTCTCTTTCTCTCTCTCTCTGTCTCTCTTTCTCTTTCCCTGTCTCTGTCTCTCTTTCTCTTTCTCTCTGTCTCTCTTTCTCTTTCTCTGTCTCTGTCTCTCTTTCTCTTTCTCTGTCTCTGTCTCTCTTTCTCTTTCTCTTTCTCTCTCTCTGTCTCTCTTTCTCTTTCTCTGTCTCTGTCTCTCTTTCTCTCCCACTCTCGGTCTCTCCCTCTCTGTCCCTCTCTCTATCTCTCTCTCTCCATCTATCTCTGCCACTCTATAACTATGTTTCTCTTTCTCTTTCTATGTCCCTCTTTCTATTTCTCTGTTCGTCTCTGTCTGTCTGTCTCCATCTCTCTGCCCCCCTCCTTCTGTCTTCATTCCTTTTGCTCTATTTTCCCACTATCTCTTTCTTTTCTCTCTCCTTGTCACCCTGGGATAATTGTGCTTGACGTCACTGGCTTTGTGATCGTCATGGAAACCTGACATTCAGCTAAAGGACTTCTTTTTTTCCCTGTCCATATTATTAAGAATCCATCTCCCACCCCCTCAAGTCAACACACTATCGTAGTTGTATTAAAACCCCACTATATATCGTAACAACAGCAAACCAATGGCGGACGTACAGTGTACACTCGAAGATAACACGTCGCATAGCTCCTGTGTATATTGTACATGGAACTATATTACACATCTTTAATATTATGCCTTCACGTGAATAGGCATATATCAATATGAATTTAACCATTTCAATGGAAATAGTTAAAAGATATGTAAAATATAATATAGATATAAATAGATACATCAATTTAATGTAACACAAATATGATGACAAACAAGTCCATGGTTATGAAGGTAATTGTAGAGCTTCTATTTGTAAAGCAGTAAGCCTATGACAGATTTGGATCTAGCAGTATATACAGTTATACATGTCAAAAGTGGAGCTACACGCGTGTGATGCTTATTTTTATGCCATCGCGTATATGACGATATATATAGCGATATATATCGATATGAATGTACATGTATGAGAAAACCGTTTGAATGGAAGCTACATGTACTGTATATGATGCATATTATTGTGCCTTTGCGTGTATGGACATATATCAATATGAATATAACCATTTTTTCAATGACAATAGTTATAAAAAGATATATCTTCAATGTGTCACATTGAATGACAAACAACTTCATGATTAGAGTATTGTAGAGCTTCTCATTGTAACTCAGTAGGCCTATGATATGGATATAGAAGTTGATACATTGGCACATTTATGTCATTCATGGAGAGCCTTAATCGTATTAATACGAATGGGAGGAGCTATATTCAGTTTTTTTTAAAGGTATATTAATGTAGTATGACAGATACGAAGATGCATAGACCAAGAACTAGATAGTTTATTCCTCAGCACTATTTCCTGACTTATGGATCCTGCTGAGTATCGTCGTAGAAGTAGAAGAAGTAGTCTTGTACATGTAGAGCTTCTATTTTTAATTCAGTAAGTGTATTACAGATTTGGAAGTAGCAGTACATCTATGTTTATTTAAACATGTACAAGAAATGTCTTTCTAAGCACAAATGAAAGAAAAGATATCCTCCATTGCGCATTCATAATTTTATATGTAAGTCCCAGAAGTGGCTCGAAAAATACATCCAAGACAGTGAAAAAAAAATACACGGAGGCTCAGGGCCATGTACCCCCCCCCCCCAAAAAAAAAAAAGAAGAAAAAATGCCAAAAAGAGCCCCCGAAAATCAGGAAAGAGCCCCCTTAAATTTGCATAGAGTTCAATGCAAAACAAATTTTAGAATGTAATTTTCATGCAGGCAAGGTTGAAAAGTAGCCCCCGAAAAATAAATATTAATTTTTTCCCTGGTCCAAGAGGCTACATCCGGGCAATTTGGGTGTAATGGGGATAGCAAGAATTGATATCTCGTTTTAATATTATACATTCTTAGAAGTGGAGATACTTGGGGGGTGTTTCACAAAGATCCTAAGTTGAACTTATCTCTAAGTTGGACTTAAAAATTATGGAAAGCCATTAGCATCTTTGAAAATATTTTGTAAAAGTTATTTTGAAAGGCATTAATTGTTTATTCAAATCATTCATATTTTCTAGCATCGAGGAGATTTCATGTTCTGGATGCGGAATTTATAAAAAGTCTAAAATACTTGAATTCTGCTTTTGAATATATTTCATTTTAAGACTCCAATGGCCGTCCATAATTTTTAAGTCCAACTCAGAATTAACTTCTACTTAGGTTCTTTGTGAAACACCCCCCTGTTCTTTTCAGGGCCCTGTTTCATAAAAACTTGTTATCAATGACAAGTTACACTAACTGTTATAAGCTACTGAAATCGGGGCATTTGATTGGCCGAGAGTAAATTTGTCATAGAGATTTAGTATTTGTTATTGATAACAGTTTTGTGAAACAGGGCTCTGGAATAAAATATTACAAAAGATGTCAACATGTTAAAAAAAATTGGAGAGGTTTACACAACAGTCTTCTTTTGATGGACGTTCTATTATGAAATGATTATAAGCGTAATAATTTCAATTATATAGCAACTTTAAAGCACTCTCCCCATTAGTCTATAAACAAGTAAATGTAGAGAATAATCGTTATAATAGATTGAAATTTTACTGTGATGTTTATCCTACAGGAAAATAAAATGAGATCCAAGTGTGGTAAAATATTTTCACCATACTCAAATTAAAACAAATAAATTTGGAGTATTTTACCTTTTGGATAAAACGATTTTGTGCAGTCGACGTCACCATTAAAAGGTTAATGCCCTGGTTGGCGGTTAGGGAGGGGGGAGACAAGTTAAATTGATATTCATATCTGTGGGGGTATTTTCTCAGAATAGAGTGTAATCGAGATTTGGAAAAGTGGTTGCAAAATTGATTAATTGAAATCCGATTTGATGTGAAATTGTGTGTTCACACTGAGTTTCAATGCTGTATTATCTGTTACTTTCACGAGATTCACAAATCGTTGTTAGGTCGCAAATGTAACATATGAAAATGAGCCTTTATTGCATGTGTGAACATGTATTCTTAGAAGCCTGTATTAAAGGTAAAGACCAGTTATGGTCATGCGATTGCATTGTGAAAGAAACGTTGTGGAATCGATCAGAAAAGGTTGATCATCTAGCATCTAGCATCTGCAAGGTTCTGGAATCATCAAAATGATAAGAAATTTGGCACATTCTTTGTAAAGTTACAAGCACTATACACAGAAAGATGTATATGGGACTACCCTATATCTCTCACAGACCATGAGAGAAACAAATTTACCAAATATATGAATTAGTAGGCGGTTTCCCGGCAAATTGTTATCATCATGTATTAGTCAAAACATATTCTTTCACATGATTGGTAATGAGAGCTTCCATTTCTTTTTTTTTTAAATTCGGGCATTTCCAATACTGGTCTTTACCTTTAATAACCATGAAAATAACAACTTGTGAAAATGCTTGTGTCCATGTTCAAAATATCTGTTTACAAAACTATTTACTTTCTACAATGTGTTATCTTCTGTGCTGTTAATGGTCTGAATATGAACCACTGACAGAAATATCTATAGAATCGTAACATACATCAGGGCTTCAACACTAACAGTTGCCTGGAATACATGGGCCTCCAAAATCTAAGTCAGAACCCCCAAAACTTTGAAGTTTTTACATAGGGCTCATGCATAAAATTGTAAAAAGTTCGGCAGGACCCCCTTTCCAAAAACTTAGGGTGGAGCCCTGAATTCATATATGAAATGTGGTTTTAATGTCCACTGTATTATTTTCTGTTCTTTTAATGTTTCATATGTGAACATGCCTTCCAAGGTACATGCTTTGAATTTAATGTTTGAGTTTCTTTTTTTTAATAAAAAAAAACAGAAATTACAATTACATTATACTGCGCTCTACATAAATTCTTTATTTATGGTGATTAAGGACGCGTAGGTGCCTGTACTTTGCACAGCGATGTTTTTCACCTGTTTTTACCCGTTTACTGCAGTATTTTTTTTAGGGGGTTCGTTATGCCGTCAGAACGAGCCTCTACGTGTCATGTTCAATTTCAATAGATAATTAAAATCACTTTTAGAGATAGAGAGGGAAAGCTCCGGGAGAAACCCCTCTGCCTATAAACATTTCCATCACTTACATTAGATTTAGAATCGCATCTACGTACACCCGATAAGCAATTTGCATTTATATGAGAAATAGATCTGCTGGGATGCGGATATTTTCAAAAACTAGTGCCGAAAGGAACCGAGACTGAGAGCATTATAAGCCACGGTCATGTGACATGTTTGCATTCGCGTTCTAATTACGCCATCAACCCTGACAACGGTTAACTTCAGGGACGTGTGACTTATCCTACATTGGCTGTGTCTTGCATCGCATTGGAATTTTGATTTGTGCGTTTGGCAAACATGAATTATAGCCTGATAGATATCATTGATAGAGTGGATGATCTTTATTCCATCTCGGTATTACTTCTCATGTGAACACAGCCCTGGTATACAGACCAATGCATTATGCATGAAAGATATATAGTGTAATATCAATAGTTGATATCCATGATTCGAAACAGTATTGTGTAAACACGTCCCTAGTAAAACGGCGAATACATCACGCATACTAGATTTAGAGCCTCATATACTTTGCTGATAAAGTTGATCTGCAAATCATTTCCATATCGTTCTGCCTGTGAACGAAGCACTTGTATAACATCCAATACGTTCTTGAACGCCAGAATCGATCCTGATTTCATTGCCTTATTGCTCCCGGTATGAACACAGCTCCGCTATAACGACGAATACATTTTGCACACCAGACGCAAGCTGGGGCCAGGTGCAGGCTAGGGTCGACATATCCAGTTGCATTGGAATCAAGCGGTGCGCGTGGAGCATTCGAAAATGAGTGAAACTTGAGGTTGACAGTGGCACAAAAGTGGCCCAGATTTGAGATATTATGACAATCTTTCTTTGAGAGTGGGGAGGAGGAAGAGGAGGTGGAAGTTTCTGTGTGGAGGTACATGCACGCACAGTCGCAGTTACACTTGTCAAGGCATCTACGCTTGTTTATTATGGAGTTCTGTATGATGTGCGACCCCTTGCAGTATCTTTGTGTGTTAGGTTAATACCTACATCAGCAGATTTCCTTCACGGTCTGCAAAAGTTTTTAGTGCGATGTGAACTCTTCATATTCTGTCATATTTGAGGATTATAAAGAATGAGGATTAGCTTGTGATTTGGAGAAATGCATCTGGGTGAGCTTGTTTATGACGCAGACAGGTTCTACGCAGCTTGGCGTTTCAAAGTCGTAGGCAATGATTCACTTTGCCTGTAGAACCTCATTGACATGTAGGCTACTTGAAACTTGGATGATTTAGTTATTAACAACTTAGATGATAAGGATTGTGATCCTTGTCATGGATATTATTGTCTTATTTGTCGTCATTATGACCATGATTTGCCATCATCATCATCATCATCATCGTCAAGTCATCAATCATCATTATCATCATCACCATCATCACTATCATCATCACTATCATCATCATCATCATCATCATCACCATCACGATCATCACCATCATCACCATCATCACCATCATCACTATCATCATCATCACCATCATCATCATCATCATCATCATCATCATCATCATCATCATCATCATCATCCCCATCATCATCATCACCATCACCACCATCATCATCCTTATACCTACAAGTTGTACACTAGAATAATCATCACCATCATCACCATCATCACTATCATCATCATCACCATCATCATCATCATCATCATCATTATCATCATCCCCATCATCATCATCATCATCATCATCATCATCATCATCCCCATCATCATCATCACCATCACCATCATCATCCTTATACCTACAAGTTGTACACTAGAATAATCATCACCATCATTGTCGACCAGGTCAGTTCATATAAGTCAGCAACTGATGTTGTCCAATATTTTGTTTCTTCTCCAGGTTCCAGAGAATCCAATAGTCACATGCTAGCTCACTGGCATATGGATAGCATACAGCAGGACTCAGATAGCTCAGATGAAGAATTCTTTGATGCAAAAGGTAAGAACATGTAAAAAATATTTCTTAATGCCCCACTGCACTACTTACAGCTACTTGCGCCCTCTATATAGCAAACAATGCCTAAGTGGTGACTGTTGGTCCGCCATGATCCCCTTTTTCTTATGTTAATTGAGAGCTGGTCTGATGAGATAACCACCTGTCAGTGACCATGCTGCGAGGTCTAATCCCTCTGGCTAAACTAGTGCAGATAGACTTTAAATAGGCATGTGCATGTATGTCATATTTCAAAACAGCAGAAAAGGAATTTTGCTTTATTCGCATTCCCGTTTATTAATATCCTTAAAGCTTGAAAGCATTGCAATAATTAAAATTATAGAATAATGTATTCCATTGGATGAACTCTGAGGTCTGTATTCTACTTTTGCAGTTTAACCCCACCATCAGACCTGCCAACCCGTATGATTTAGTTGTATTTTGTACGATTTTTAGCATTAAATACGACAGTACGATTTTCCTCAATAAAATATGATTTTCCAACAACAAGAAACAACATAGAATATAGATTTTTTTTTGTGTGTGTGCCATTTTTAATGGCGAAATGCCCATTCTGTCCTATAAAGTATCCTACAAGCATCTCACATCGGCAATTTTGGGATGTTCATTGTTTCATCGAAATCATGCATATTCAACCAATGATCCATACTAAATTTTCTTCCTGTATGTAGGAACTGTAAAAGCATTGATCCGCCTATAAACAGTCCATGTTTATTTTTAAGAATACAACTTTTGTCAGTAAAATACAACTTTTGGAATACAGATTTGGAACTCTAGAGGTTGGCAGGTCTGCACCATGGGTCTAAAATCATGTATAACAATTGGAAACTTAGACCTGAGACTAACTATCTTTGTTAATCCGATTTTGAAAAAAAGCCTAAACCCGGGTCAGGTTTAGATTTTAGTAGAATGCGGGCCTGCATGATGGCCTGAGGGTTACAAACTATGTTGAAAATAAGCATTTTATGTTATTATTGAAAGTGAAATTAATCCCCCTCCCCTGTGTATACTGAAAAATTAGGGTTATCTACTGCAGATTTGAACTTGTTATTATGTGCTTTTCTGTGGTACCTAGAAATGGATTAAAACCTTCTGTCATATCAACTCCCCCATACATGCTGTTCAGAGAGGAAAGATATAGCTCATGAGAGAGAGGGAGAGAGAGAGAGAGAGAGGAGAGAGAGAGAGAGAGAGAGAGAGAGAGAGAGAGAGAGAAACAGAGAGAAGGGTAGAGAAAGAGAAAGAGAAAGAGAGAAAAAAAAGAGAGATTGAGAGTCAGAGAGAGACACACACACAGAGGGGGGTAGAGAAAGAGACACAGCGAGAGAGGGACAGGGAGAGAGACAGATTGAGAGAGAAACACACACACACACACACACACACAGACAGAGAGAGAGAGAGGGAGAGAAAGAGAGAAAGAGAAAGCAATTTCAAGAGGGGGAGGAGATAAGCACACAAAACACAAGGGATTCTTTTCAAGAGTATTCACAGTAGTTATTAAAACAAGGATGGAGAATAGAATTTATAATGTTAGTTTCCACGTATTGGCAATGATTCTATGAAAACACCCACCCTCCTCTGTATATGAGTTATCTACAGTAGATTTGGACTTGATGCTTATCTGTTTTTTTCCTTTGGGAAACCAGTTGCCTTTTTTCCTTAAAATTTATCAGCATGTATCTTGTCTTTTCTGAGATTTATGAGGTCAGAAACAAATGGAATGAGAAGTAAATCGATATATTTTTGTCATGGATACATCCTAACAATTCATGACTTTTTTCAATTTTTTTAATTGTTTGTTCAAGGGCATGCTCGTATAGGAATTGTTCTACCCTCGTACATGTTGGTGTACAAAAAAAAAAATCAGAAAATGCAGAAGAAAATATACCTTTCTTTTATTCAACTGTTATCATCACTATTCATTGCATTTAATATTGCTACGGTATATTGACAGGTAATTTGGGTGCAGGTGGGATGTTGGCGTTCAGCTAAAAATTTACTGTGAAATCTTCTTTTAGTGAGTATGAGTCGTCTACTGAAAATTGGAACTTGTTCATTTTATACTCCATGGAAATGGGAATAATTTGTCTGTGTAGAGCCTAACGGGTGAAAAATTATATTGTAGAGATAAAGTCCAGTGGCTCTCTCTCTCTTACAAGCATTATGTACCGGCAAAAGGCTATTTTGGTAATGTAATGAAATACATATGTGTTTCTTAAGTGCCTTGTTACAAACTATTTCATTTACCCGTTTCAAATAATAATTCTATTTCAGTGGAGAATGTGCATACATTGTGTGCGGGTTAGCCTGAATCCTATGACCGGGGTAATAATATATATATCTGTAAAGCGCTTTGAGAGGGCCTTCGGTCCTGAAAAGCGCTATATAAGAACTAGCTATTATTATTATTATTACTTTGCATGTTGTTTGTTATGTACGGCAAGTTATAAAATCTTTCCAACCTAGCAACAACTACTGTATGTGATTTGCATTATGGCTATTAAGATAAGATATCATATGACGGGTAAAGATAATAGCTAGAGCCTAGATGCTAGGTACCTGTAAAGGTGTATAAATTGAAATATGGAATCGGTCTATTGTAATGTATAGTACATGCATGCTGTTTTGCAATTTACCAATAACACACTAAATGTCTGGATATCCCTCTTGCAACAATGAAGTTGGCCTTGGTGAAAAATCACCTGATGAAATAAATCTAATTATCCAAATGACTCTCTAATTGTAAAAATTACCTTTCCAGAGTTTCTTGGTAATACAGGTGTTGAATGCAAAATAGAGATAATTGCATTATCATTGAACTTGAAGAGAGAAGTATGTCACATACCAGGGAGATACATGTTTAGTAAACAACTCAATTATTCATACCCTTACGAATTTTGTTTGTATGTTAGAAATCACTATGTCCAGATTTATTCATGATTTGAGAGTATTCTGAGCAAAGTATTAAAAAGAACTTGAAATATAGTATAGAAGAAGAAGTCTGCTGATGTTCAAATGGTTATCTTTCTTCTCTTTTTTTGTAAAATATTAAAATGTTCAGAAACATTTTTCTTTCTCAAATCTGCAAAATGTTATATTTAGGTACTAGGGTGAATTAAAGTTTTGTGTGTATCAATTTCAATGTCTAGAAACAAGTTTAACTTTAAATTTTTTCTTCACATCTTAATAAGTTTAAAGTAGGTCACATTATGAAATGAACTTTTAGTAATTTCATAAAAAAAATTAATTTTCCTTAATTCTGTCTTAATTCATATTCATATATTAGATTAAAGTCAAATTTGTATGTTTACCAATTTACATTTAATTTGAGAATACTGGGATGGGTACGTGCTACATGTACATGAAAAAGTAGAACATCATTGCATACGAGAAGAAAAAGTCCGCTGACTTACAACGTAAATTACGAACTTGAAGGTGTGCGAAATAACTAGAAGCGGTTGGTTGGGTGCTTGAGAATACTGGAGGTGGTAGCGAGGTGGCGGGGTATAATGACTTGACGCTTAGGCCCCGTACACGTTTGGTAGACATGGCATTTAGAGGGTGCGCAAACGCTAGGGGTAACGAGGCGTAGAAGGATGCAGATAATTGTATTAAAATGAGGGAGTAATTTCTCCTCTCCTTATTTTGGCTTCTTGTGAGGGTGAGTTAATTGGGTGTTGGTGTGTCCCCCGGGGAATTTTGTTGTGGGCCACATAGGTGTATGGAGGGTATGTAGGGAGAGTGGTAGGGATTAAGGAGGGGTTAGGGAGTAGGGAGGGGAGATAAACTTTAATTGTGGACTTAAGGTATAGACCAGCTTTGGAAATGCCTCCTCTCAAAAATAGAAATGGAAGCTCTTATTACCCCATCATGTGAAAGAATATGTTTTAAAGGCCCACTGCACTATTTATAGCTACTTGCGCCCACTCTATATTAAACAGTGCCTAATCGGTGACCATTGGTCCCCCATGATCCTCTTTTTCTTATGTTAACTGAGAGCTGGGTTGATGAGATAACCACCTGTCCAGTGACCTTGCAGGGTGGTCTAATCCCTCCTGTAAACTAGTACTGATAAGCTTTAACTAATACGTGATGATACAAATTTTGCCGGGAAACCGCCTTCTAATTGATATATTTGGTAAACTATTATATCTATCCGGACTGGATTGATATCTTTATGTGTACAGTGCTTGTAACTTTACCAAGACTGGGCCAAATTTCTTATCATTCTGATGATTCCAGAACCTTGCAGTACACACCAATACTTATATGCTAGATGATCAACCTTTTCTGATCGATTCCACAACGTTTCTTTCACAATGCAATCGCATGACCAGAACTGGTCTATACTTTTAATACTAGACTGATCTCTTACCCTAAACCTAAACCTGACCATACAAATAAAGTTAAACCTTATTGTTACCAAAGCCCTAATATTAATTGTCAGAGAAAATATAGCCAGGATCATGAAGTCACCAGAAATAGAGAAAAAAGGCAAGATAAAGAGAATGTGGAAAGTATATATGAAATATACACTATACCTTCTGATGTTCTTATGTGGAATGCATTGTCTTTATGCCTTACATTGCCCTTATTTGACTATCTACCCGTTTGATCGGGTAATACGAGACCCAAAATGGGGAAAAATTGGCGTTGCAGATTTGGCCAAAAAATGTTGTTTTGATAGGTCTAGCAGTCTGTAAATCTGAGAAGCCCACAATATGCAACTGTGCAAACAGTGAGTAGGTGTCTAGATCAATAATGAACTATCGTGACCTTTCTGTCTGCTGTACTTTTCTCCCTCGCTGCTGTGTTGTGCAGCTGGAAGAAGCGTATGCAGAGAGGAGGAAGATGGAGAGATGGAGGAGGGAGGGACGGAGGGAGAGAGAGAGAGAGAGAGAGAGAGAGAGAGAGAGAGAGGGGGGGGGGGGGGTTGGAGACAGAGAGATGAGATCTCTGTGAAAAATATATAAGGCACCAAGGGGAGATAATCATAAGAAAAGCAAGGGACAAACATGGATATAGGTTGAAATAGGAATAGGGAAGAAACATCGAGAGATGTAGGTGCGAGGGAGAGAGAGAGAGAGAGAGAGTGGGGAGAGGGGAGAGAGAGAGAGAGTGGGGAGTTGGAGATGGCAAGAAGATGCAGAATGGTAGAGTCAGGGTGAGGGGAGTAAGAAAGAATGGGAGACATAAATTGGAAGATGAACATTGTAAAAAAACATGACGCAAACAAGGAGGGTCATTTTGAGAGCAGGGAAAAGACTGCGGCGAACTTATATTGTGAAACTTTGAAATCTTTGTTATTACTTCTCTGCCTTTCAGTAAGCGCTATACAGGCTCTTTACCCGTTACATGTAACAGATGTGTAGATACAGCAACTTCCAAAAAAAACGCTTTATGGCACTCATGGCCCTTTGGCTATAGGCTTTACATGAATGTTTACATGTATGATTGGACCATTCTTGGTATTTTTGTTTACACTATGACATTTTATTTTCCTTATGTATAGATTGGCAGGAAGATCAAGAGGATGACGGACCTTTGTTATCCCATTGGAGCTCCGAAGATGTCCTTAGTCCAGCGTCATTAGAAGGTCCGAGGCATTTTTACATTCATGCATATACAATTTACTGCTAGCACAACTGAATCTAAATTCATAATGTGATGGAATATCAGGCTGTAGTTACCTCCTTGTAGATGTTAAATCCCACTCACATCTTAAATCTTAGCATGAATGGATTGTGGAGAGCTTTTCTGTGTTCCTGAATTTAAAAAGGTCCATTAGTTGTGATGGTTGATGCCATTGCTCAGTCTTTAACAAGATGAGTAATGAAAAGAAAAACATTCTTGATTATATTTGACTCTTGGATTCTAATTTGTAACACACTGTCCTTAAACATTTGCATAAACTCTGTGGCACATTGAAGTGGAAAGCAAAGACTGATTCCATACTGTTCTTTAATTTTTAATAACAACTGGGGGGGGGGGGTATTTCACAAAGATCCTAAGTCAAACTTAACTCCAAGTTGGACTTAAAAATCATGGAGAGCAATTTGTAGCCTTAAAATAAAGTATGTACAAAAGCAAAAATTCAAGTATTTTAGACTTTTTATAAAATCCACATCAAGGACATGAAATCTCCTTCATAATACAAAACATGAAGGATTTGAATCAACATTTTATGCCTCTAAAAATAACTTGTAAAAAATATGTTCATAGATCTATGCTAATGGCTTTCCATAATTGTTAAGTCCAACTTAGAGATAAGTTCAACTTAGGATCTTTGTGAAACACCCCCTGCAGGTCCATTAGTTGTGATGGTTGATGCTATTGCTCAGTCTTTATCAAGATGACTAATGAAAAGAAAAACATTCTCAATTATATTTGACTCTTGGAATCTAATTTGTAACACACTTTGTGGCACATTGAAGTGGAAAGCACAGACTGATTCCATACCGGTCTTTACTTTTTAATAACAACTGATATTGCCATATTTTCCTCCACCATCAGATGAAGCCAGAGACTCCCAGTTCTCAGGCAACATGCAGTCGGACATCACTGTCCTCTTCCTGGTGCTTCACGGTGGCAACGTCCTGGACGGCATGCAGGAGACAGGGGCCAAGAGCAGCGATATCAACACCTTCAAGACTGCCTTCGACGCGGTGGTGAGGGCGCACTTTCCAGTGGCGCAGGGTCACATAGCGGTCAAGCTGGTGTCGTGTCCGCCGACATGCCATGAAGCGTTCAGCTTGATCACAAGGTAACACAAATGTGTAGCTTCTGTTCGATTGACGGTTCTCTTAGGATAGATTTGATACTTTTAGATATTTTCCCTGTTTTTTGTTGTTGTCATGACGAGACTATGTGTCTTTGCCGTGGCCTAACTCAGGGCCAATCGGGTATGATACGACTACGGACGACGCAACCGCAGTAGGCCTACGTATTCACGTGCGTGCAACATACGCGAAACCGAAACGTGAAGAGAACCTTGGTCTGTGTCGCCAACTGCTAGTGCGCTGACCCAGTTAATCAAGTCCATTTGTTTATGTCCAGTTGTCCAAAATAATTTGTAGATGACGTTAACCAGTATTTGCCATGCTATACCCCCTTTAAGGCATCTACATGTTCTATTTTATTCCTAATACAATATTCTATGATTTTACTTGCCTCTCACTCAGCCTTGGACCATGCGGGGTAGATGCCTCATCATCAGCCTTTGACAACAAGCTCCAGACGAACACAGGAGACTTTGTCCCCATCGGAGCACTGTCCATCATGGCCACGTCCAACCCTGACTACCTGGAGTCCGTGACCGCCACCGTCACCAGGATGAACCACACCTACAATGAGTTTGTCAAGTCACAGGAAGGCCACGGTTTTCAAGGACAGGTAAGGAATAAAAATAATGTGTTAAATTTTAAGAAATACCTAACTTAAGCTGATTAGATGCTGTTTATAAGTATCGGCTTGCAGGGTGATGTAGATATAAAGTAGGCTTGCGGTTGCACCATCCTGACGACAGATAGTCAACCTGTTTGAAACGTCAAACCACTCTTACTACCCATCCTCTCCAACCGGCGCTATAGAACTATAAATTAAGAAAGATCCCCAACAGTCTTTATATGTACATATGTAAAAAAAAAAAAAAAACATTTTGACATGAAGTTATTATTGTTTGTATATTTTGTATTATACCTTACGTCTATATATATGTTCTTTGTTATTCAGTTATTATATTTGGAAAAATGCAGAAATAAAATCAAAATCACAATCAAAATCAATCTTGCCGCAATATTTTGACCATGTCCTGGAAGGAGTCAACAGTTTATACATTTTTACAACACATGTCATGCATTATTTTTTACATCATACCTTTCTCTCTTTCCCAGGTGTGTGTAGTAGGAGACTGCATGGGTGCCATCTTGGGTTACGATGCCTTAGCCAGGGGGACGTTGATCACCCCTCAGCAGTATCTCTCCCCTTCCATCAGCACCATGAGTAACTGCACCTTCTATGATGCGCCCATCTCCCCTTCGGGCACGTCCACGCCCCCTTCCGGCTCCCCAACCCCAAACAGCACCTCAACCCTCACCACGCCTCCTCCTGGGAACACCAACCAGCTGACCACCGCCCAATCACAGCCCTCGTTCCTCACCCACAAGTGTCCCAGCAACAGCACCATCGACATGTTGAGGACGACGGATGCGTTTGACGCGCCACGGAAGGTCACTGCCGCCAGTTCAAACAACCTGCAAGGAATGCATGATCCTGGTGCAAGGTAAACTTGGTCTGATGGATAATTTTTTTTCTCCGATATTTTGAAGTAGGTTTATGTGATAGATTGTGTATTTGTTGATAATCAACGTGGTAAGTCACATCAAAACTAATTTCCATTTCCAATGAAAATTCTAATGGTATTGTAATAGCCTGAAAACGTTCCAAAATGTCATACATATCCCTTACCAAAGAAAACTGCTTAATAAAGCCTTCGATAAGCCTTCGCTAAGCCTTCACAAAGCCTTCAAAGACTTCATAAGCCTTCGAAGGCTTGTTTTAGTCTTCAACTGCTTATTAGTTTGCGAGAGCTAAGCCTTCAAAGACTTTCATATAAGCAGTCAAAAAATGTTGACTGCTTATTAAGCAGTCAGTAGAAAATAAGCCTTCAAGATAAGCAGTCGCTGAAAATAAGCCTTCAAAGATAAGCAGTCACTTTTAAAGAAGACCGCGAAGGCCTTCATTTTCCAAATGTGTGCTGCCATCTAGTGGTAGAAGGCGAATAGGCCAACCGGTAATTTTCAAATTCAAATCTTCACTGAGACTCTGAGCTGAGCTGAACGGCGCATATTTCAATCATTACTTTGCAATTTCGCCAGATTTGTCTTCCTGTAAAACCCACAGTATAGGGAATAAGGGGTAGATTATTTACACCAGGAAAGAAGAATTTTGAGAGTATTCTAGAGCAAGAATTTAACAAAATGAGAAAGGATCGAATTTTGTTACCAAGATTACAGTCCCACACAAGCACTCTTGTGTTGGAGAAATACGATCAACTTTGCTTTGCACTGGACTGCTAGCTGCTGGAGCTACTTTAAACATCTTCATTTTGTCCAGAAGGTGAGTAAAACAATTACACAATACAAAATTGAGTTTGCTTTCTGTACAGATTAGGAAATTGCATGGTCATTGATTTTGTAAATACTTGTTCACAAATATATTTGAGCAAATTAGCGCAGCTGCAGTTGATGCTGAAGGTTTAGGTAATATAGGCAGTCGAAGGTTTGTACCCAGTGGACAACGCTCGAAGGTTTAGGGGATAAGCAGTCGACAACGAAGGTTTAGGTGATTCAACGACGAAGGTATAAGCAGTCAATGATGAAGGCTTAGCTAATTTGCATATTAACTTGGCTGTGGGAAGGCCTATGGACTGCTTATAAGCCTTCGAAGGCTTAGGAAGGTTTAAATACGACTGCTTATATAGAGCTTCATTATAAGCAGTCGACTGCTTATTTAGAGCTTCATTATAAGCAGTCGACTGCTTATTTAGAGCTTCATTATAAGCAGTCGACTGCTTATTTAGAGCTTCATTATAAGCAGTCGAAGCTAATTTGCATATTAACTTGGCTGTGGGAAGGCCTATCGACTGCTTACAAGCCTTCGAAGGCTTGCAGCAATACATTGACATGCATGTTGCAAATGAAGGCTTGCGACTGCTTATATCGACTGCTTGTGACTGCTTATGCGACTGCTTAGCGAAGGCCTTCAGTTCGGTAAGGGATATGTTAATGATCGATCCACTACCAGATTTAAAAAGCCTTTCAGAAAATTTACTTGGCCCAATTCAATTATCTAGTGCATCACCTTTTGAAGTGTACAAGAATTCCTGAGGCAATACAATACGGTACTGATCGTATTCAGTGGAAGGAAAAAGAGGTCCGTTATGAGGAAGAATATGGAAATGTTCTTCAGAGTACCCCCCTTAATCTCATATAATCCTGTGTTTTATCTGTTTTATCACTATGTGCTGGTTCTTCAAAAAGACCTAGCTAATGTTCTGAATAATTTGTTAACTTTTTTTAATTTTTTTTTATTTCTGCATATCTAAACGCAATAAAAAATAGTATTCATAATATACATATATATTATTAACAAAAGTCAAAGTACATATATATATTCTTATAATGTAAATCACTTAAAGAATTATATATTTCAAAACACACATAGTTGAAAGACTAAAGCTTGAACATGGTGGCGGCCTCAGGAAATGGGCTAACAAACTTATATTATATACAATCAGAAAGATATTTCTTATAACTGCTTAACCACCAAATCTACCACCACACTATCAATTCAACTCCACCCCTGGGGAGTGTTTCACAAAGATCCTAAGTTGGACTTATCTCTATTAAAGCTGAACTGAACATTTATGGAAAGCCATTAGCATCTTTGAAAACATTTTGCAAAAGTTATTTCAAAAGGCATAAAATGTTGATTCAAATCATTCATATTTTCTATTATTATGGGTGATTTCATGTTCTTGATGTGGAATTTATGAAAAGTCTAAAATACTTGAAATCTTTGCTTTAAATATATTTCATTTTAAGGCTACAAATGGCTCTCCATAATTTTCAAGTCCAACTTAGAGTTATGTTTGACTTAAAATCTTTGTGTAACACCCCAGATACACTAGTGCACCTCATGACCGGGTCAAGCGCTTCTCCAACCCCACCTTCTCCAACCGGGAATCGATGCAGAGCTACAGCTCCGAGCTCGACGGCAGACGGATCAGTCTCTGCTCCCAGGTCAGCATGACCTCTGACATGATGCTGCCAAAGGTCGACTTTGAGGTCACGCATTTCTTCATGTTCGGCTCGCCGCTGGGCATGGTGCTGGCGTACAGGAGATCGCTGCAGGATTTTAAACCAAGTAAGTTTTCTCTTTTCATCTCCAAATCAGGTTTTCCCAAAGAGTGATAGTTATGTGGTTCCAACAAAATTCCCCTAAACACATGTAGATGTGGTAAACTTTAGAATATTTTTACTATAGATATTGATTATTACATGGGGGTTCCTGAAGTACTGGTGTAAAACCTTACATAATATTAATATGTTTGCCTTGGAGTTATCACAATTTATATTGATTCTTCTACAAAGAACAATGCAGCTTTTTCTGAGTACGTCAAATGTTTTCCCCAAAAAGTTAAATTAAGAAAATACTAGTACATGTATATGCCTCTCCATTGAACACCTTAGTCCATTGAATACTGAACCTTAAGATTACTTTGGTTAGGTTCTATGACTTCATGTAGTTCGGTTTTCATGTCCTTCATTGCTCATTACTTAACTAGTATAATTGCTAACAAAATCACATGGCAAATAAGTTGGCAAATGATATTAATATGAGTATTGGTAGCTCAATCTCTAAACCTGTGTATCAAGATTATACTGTTCCCCAAGGATCTGTTTTGGGGCCAGTCTTATTTACAGTGTACATACAAGTCCTCTGCATGATGTGATACTGGAGCACAATGTACTGTACCACTTTTTCAGCTTGTCATCAGAAACTCAAGATTATTTTTATTGTTTTGCTCCTCTTGAGTACAAGGTGATATGTAATAATGATGATAATAATATTCCGCTTTTATATAGCGCTGAATACATCTACGATGTCTCTAAGCGCTTTACAGATATACTATTACCCCGGCCATTGGATTCAATACTTGCCCGCACACAATGTGTGCACCATCTCCACTCCCTGTATGTATCGTTTCTCACTTTTGTATGCCCCTTCAACCTCCAGCCCTGCCTTTAAGACCAACGTGTTGTCAGCTCTACAACCTGTTCCATCGGACGGACCCCTCAGCGGCCCGCCTAGAACCCCTCCTACACAGCAAGTTCTCCGTGGTGACCCCGTTCTCGGTTGAGAGGTATCAGAAGTACCCCCGCGGAGACGGCAGGTCTAATGGGCTCAGTAAGTACAGTCATTTCATTTCTTTTCATTAAAGGCATCGTTTAACAATGTTAAATCTGTGATGCACAACCCTACGTGTTATCAGTGTCTGTGATATGGTGTAATATTGAAGCCCTAAAAAAATTGCACTTCAAAATGATCAAGAAGTGCCTCAAAAAAGTAAAAATCTTTGAGTGACCAGTTTTACCATACTCCTTTTCCCCAGTAGACTGTAGTGTTAGGAAAACCGTTTTGCAAACGCAAAATTTGGTTTTGATTTCCAATCATAAATATCTTGATAATCAGACAGGCGATCGGCTTGTAAAAGTCATGGGATTCCTGACTGACCTAAAGGTTTATAATTATCATTGCAGCATGAGCTAAATGATCCAGGATTTTGTTTCAGAATCTGAGACAAAGTTACCGGATCCCTTTAATGAGGTATTAATCGGTATCTGTTATGCCTTTTTTAGGTAGCTCAGCAAAATGTTGTGGCACAGAAAGAGGCATCCGGAATGCAAAATACATAATAGTCATAGATGTTTGTTTCATAAAAGTTTTTTTTTTTTTTACATATTTAAGGGAAAATTCAATTATCATCAAGCCTCATCGAGATGGTATATGCATTTACCAGATCCATCTCTGTGTGATAAAATTATGATTTTCGACAAATACCGGTATGCAATTTGCATTCCCGATGCGTCTTTTCATGTATATATCTCGCTAAGATACCTTTGGACAGTCATACAATATATTGCAGATATGTTTTATCTAGTTTGAAAAATACAAGCTGAAATGTAATCATGATAATGGTTTGCTAAAAAAATATGAATAATGCAATAGGTTAAGCTGATACACAGGAGTAGAAAACAATTTTAATTCTTGAGGCTGCCAAAGGAATCTAGTTAGATATAAATATCATAGTTGTAAAAACATGTATAACTAAATCATATTAGATTTCTTGACTGAGGTCTTTCTAGGAAAAATTCCTAATATAAAGCATGATAAGAAACAATAATGATGCAATATTATTGAAAATTATTCCAAAATAATTATTAAATAGAAAAATGGCTATGCTTAGAAATTAGATAATGCCCTTTTCAAGCATAAGATAGTCCCTGAATAAGCTTCATGAGAGAAGTTTTGATTCAGAATTTTTTTTAATTACCCTCCTTGCTTTAATATCGAACAAACAACAGTCAGAACAGTTCTATGACCTTTGACCTTTGTTATTACAGTTGATGCTATCACTGCCAACATGCTGCTGTTTTCTGAGGGGAGAGCAGAGGGTTACGGGCGGAGACACACCAGTGTAGCTAGCTCAGCCGGTGAGGCGGGGGAGAATGAAGGGGTCTTATCTGGACCTGCTCTACACAGTGAGTGCATGGCTACCCCCTCTTTACATTCCAAAATAATAATAATAAAAATAATAATCTGGATTTATATAGCATTTGATACAAAAAAACACGTCCTTAAATGCTTTACAGATATTATTACTGTGGTCGTCGGATTCATTCATGCAAAATGTGCATCATCTCCACTCCCTGGAGAGTATTTCTACCATATGGTCACAGTGGGGGCATATGGCATATAAGCTTTTGTCATCCTACCAGGTCCCCATTTGTCTCTTGGGTATGGAGTGGCAAATGTAGAATAATGCATTGTCAACGGACAGTAGTGCCATGTTTTGGATCAAACCCACGACCTTTGCCTTTCAAGTGAATTGCTTAAACCACTCGAGTATGAAACCTCTACAAAAAGAAACTCTAAAATAAAATACATGTACTTTTCTATTTTGATTTAAAGTTAATTTAAAGATTTAATTCCACAGATTCAAAATATGATGGTCTAGAAATCTATTGATCCATCTCTTATTCACTGCTTCCCCCCAATTTAAAAAAATGTTTTACTTCCAGTTTATAGGGGCTACTTGTATTATTTCCATACAAGAAAGAATTTTTATGGAGAACTTGTCTATGATTATGATCTGTTTTACTAGGGTTGCCATGGTTCCAGTGGCGGATCCAGGGGGGGGCCCCCCCCCCCTTGAGAAAAAAATCATGTAAAATCACGTGATTTTTACCTTTTGGGGGGTTGGGCCCCCCCCTGGCGCTCAAGGGGGGGGTGCAAATTGAAATTTTTTGAGGATCAAAAAAAAGTGCTCACTACCCCCCCCCCCCCCCCCCCCACCACTGAGCGAATTTTTGGCCGGCGCGTTTTTCAAATTTTCGGGAGCAAAACAAAATTTTAAAAATTGTGCTCTGTACCCCCCTCCCCCCCCCCCCCCCCCCCCCCCCCCCCTCTCCCTCACTGAGCGACTTTTCGGCCGGCGCGATTTTCAAATTTTCGGGAGCAAAAAAAAAAAAGTTGGGCCCCCTCCCCTAAGAAATCCTGGATCCGCGCCTGCATGGTTCGATGGTACTTTATGTTAATGTTAATATTTTGTAATGGTCTCCAGATGCATAAGTTCTTTGTTTACAAAGATCTGCCCCCTTTCCACATATCATATTTCATATGGCACCTCACACAGCAATGATATTAATCTTTGTTGATTGGTATCTGTTGAATTATTCATGTCTATTGCAAGCGATTCACGAAAATCTGACCTTTATTGCAATTAGCTGTTTATGATTGGTTAATGGGTTATGAATTTCCTTTTTGCAGTTCACATTCTGTTGCTGATGTCCAGTTATTAGACATACTGGTATAGATATTGAAAAAAGTATTCCACAAAATATTTAATTATTTTATCATACAGTTATTGCAGACCAAATGGCAATTCATGTATCTACATTAAAACATGTACATTGTACATGAATATGGGGCTGTTCTCACCTATCTGATGCTGTGAACACTTGATATACTGGTTTTGAGAGATTGCTTTGGCATGTATCTCAGTAAGCAAAAGATATACCTCCAGTTTTGGGGTCCGGAATAAAGAAACGCCCTTCCTTATTTAGTTTTTTAAAAATATACAAATCTAATCTTGTTAAATCATACACCCTCTGAGTCTATAAAGCGATGTGTTAGCCTTGTTTTTCTCTGTCTTCCTGTTGTACCACTTAAATTATATTTAATGACTCATATAGTTTAGGGACAAGCCTTTGATAGGCCTTTGGCCTTTGTTTATCCCCTCCCCCCCCCCCCCCCCCACATTTTGATACTTCTGTTCTGTTGTGTTATTTGTTGGCATTGACTTTATATTGTGTATGTTTGTTATTGTGATTATTATAAAATATGTAAATAAAATGAATTGAATTGAATTGAATTACAAGCCATCTGACAAAGCTAGAATGCAGATAGATGCATTTAGCAGATCATTTACTGTTATATTTTTTAAAAAACTCAGATTGCTCTATCATGATTCCACAAATAGTTTTCTCAGCATATATTCAAGGGAGATGCAACTCTCTCTAAAAGGTGTATATGATATAACAAGAAATATTATTTAATTGTTTTCAGCTGTTAATGCTATTACATCAAAATGGTGGGGCAGCAAGAGGCTAGACTTCGCCCTCTATTGTCCCGAGGCACTGCAGGCATTCCCGACTGGCGCCCTCCCTCATCTATTCCATGCCAGTTACTGGGAGTCAACAGATACCATAGCTTTCATCCTCAGACAGGTAAGAGAATAAGAGAGATAGAGTTAATAAAAGAAAGAGAGAGAGAGAGATATATATATATAATGAAAAATAGAGCTAAAGCATGAAAGAGAAAGACAGACAGAGACAGAGACTGTAGGGGGCGAGGAGGGGAGAATAGGTGATAAAGATATTAATGTTAGCATATTTTTATGGTTTTTGTGAAAAACTAGACGAAGAGTAATGCTATGAAAAAAATGTCATGAAAAATGGCATAAAAATGATGTCATGTGTCTAGTCTTGTGGTGTGTCATGTATTGTTTGTATTTTGTTTTTGTTAATTGAAATTAATAAGTTTGTACCTTCCATGGCAAACTGTCCAACAACAAATCAAGGTTAAGATATGACATTTTGAACACTGAGGAAATCTGAATTCTTTTTTAATATAACCTTTTCAGAAAGTTAACACTTGTTTTTGAACAACATTGATTTAGACAGAAGTAAAACTTTGACTGCCATTCAATGACCTTTGACCTTGATGTATCCTTGATGCTGCAGGTATTTCACAACGACAGTGTGAGCGTGCATGCTGGTGACGGGACAGCCGTTGCAAACTTCATTCCTGCGCAGCCCAGGGAAAAATGGCAGCGGAAAAGAACGTCTGTAAAAATGAAGGTGAGGATAGAGACCTTGATTTAAGAGAGTTTCATGAATATTTGTGTAAAGTTGGTGAAAGAATGTAAACAAGTAGATTAGTTTGGTCAATTGCTGTCATGCATTATTCAGCATTTATCCTGATACGCAAAGAAATTGTGAAAAAAAGTCATAACGTGTGTTCAATAGCACAAACAAAGACAAGTTTATTTATGTAAGCAGTAACAAAATCTTGCATGGTTGTTGATCTCATCTGGCTTTCTTTTGCTTTTTCATTATGTCAGTATTAATCTTGAAAAGCAATGATGACAACCTTTAAAAACTGTGCAACTCTAATGGTTCTTTTCCCTCAAATGAAGATGTGGCTATTACAGATATTGATGCACGGCTCGAAATTCATACCTGAGATGAAATGTACCACACTGGTTAATCATGATGAGTGTACTAAAAGAGCCTGAAACTTTGTCAGCGCAGAATGATGCAGTATACACATTATTTATAAAGCAGTGGTTTGAGAAGAAATTCATGTTGAACCAAATAGAATTCTGTAAAAGAGAGTTTAAACTATCTAACAAAAAAATTTGTGTTCTTTTTTTTTGTTTCACAGCAAAGCGTAAATCCGAACCACCGAGCTAAGGACGTTGTCGTGATGGAAGACGCTCCTCAGACATTGGTTGGGAGATTCATGTACAGTACACTAGACATGGTCACTCTTACTGGAGAAAAGGTAGGTACAGTGAAGCCTGTCTATAAAGACCACCCAAGGGAGACAAGAACATTGGTCTTTACAGGCAGGTGGTCTTTAAGTATAGGTTCCTTTAGTATAATTTTCAATAAGAAACCATGTTCAAGGGAAACAAAGAATGTGGTCTTTGTAGACAGGTGGTCTTTCTATACAGGTGGTCGTTAAAGGAGGTTTGACTGTATAAACAAATATCAGCTAACCTCCTGCAATTCAATTCACATTAACTGATTATTTAGAAGGAAGAAGTGTGAGAACCACAAATGGGACTGATAAGGCTATTACAGTGGAACCTGTCTATAAAGACCACTCAAGGGAGACAACAAAATGGGTCTTTATGAACAGGTGGTCATTATGTACAGGTTCCTATAATACAATTCAAGAGAAACATAAATTGTTGTCTCTGTAGACAGGTAGTCTTTCTATCCAGGTGGTCACTAAAGCAGGTTTCACTGCACCAATAAATTCATGCATGAACACAATCTGTAATGGGTTTTTTTAAATCCAATTTTAAATTACAACTCCAATATTTACTTGTCTTTTTCTTTTATAGCGAGCATTTGTTTGATAAAATGTTGGCAGTACAACTACTGATTTGTTCTTAGAAATTACATCATATCATGTCATATTACATAACATCTCATCATCACTTCCTCTTTTGTTCTACACATCAAAAATGCAATCGATGTACTCGGAACAAAATATTTAGACAAGATGAATTTCTGGAAAACTATCACTGTAACATTGACTTCATATTTCATTTCATTTCATTTATTTCATTCTCCATAAAAAAAAAATTAAACATACAAACATGATATACAGATAAAAGATTGATTACAAGAAAAATACAAAGGGAAGGAGCAAACAAAATTGTATGGGAATGTGGGGTTAACAAAAAGGGCAATTAGCCTTATTGTTTTTTTGAGAAAAGAAAAAAAGAAAAAGAAAAGCACTACAATACAATATTGATGCATGTGAGAAGGGATACACAATACACCACATTTACCTTGGTTTTGATTGGTTACAGGTGGACATTCACATCATGACGCAGCCTCCCTCTGGGGAATGGGTCCACTTTGCGACGGAGGTAACCAGCAGCACCGGCAGGGTCTCGTACACCATTCCAGAAGCCAGACGACTGGGCCAGGGTATTTATCCAGTCAAGATGGTCGTCAGGTAAGGGCAGTATTATTGTTCTTTAAAGGCTCGTTTAACAATGTTAAATCTGAGATACATGGCCCTACGTGTTATCAGTGTCTGTGATATGGTCTAATATTGAAGCCCTAAAAATTGCACTTCAAAATTATCAAGAAGTGCCTCAAAAAGAAAAATCTTTGAGTGACCGGTCATACTTGTTTTCCCCAATAGACTGCAGTTTTAGGAAAACACAAAATTTGATTTCGTTTTCCAATCATAAATATCTTGATAATCAGACAGGCGATCAGCTTGTAAAAGTCATGGGGTTCCTGACTGACCTAAAGATTTATGATTATCATTGCAGCATGAGCTAAATCAAGGATTTTGTTTCAGAATCTGAGACAAAGTTACCCAATCCCTTTAAATAATCCACACCAATATTTACCCAGACTTTGGTCAACTTGGTTACAGTGGATAGAAGTATGGCCTGTTTTGTTGCTTGAAAGCAAGAAAATAAGAAAGTTTATTTATTAAAAATTGACACATACCATAGTTATTATGATGGGAGTAAATATGACTTGATGCTTGTTGAAAAAAGTCTTTATAACGACTAAGATTTTATCTTTTCATTCCTTCTCTCAAACCAGGGGTGACCACACATCAGCGGATTCCTACCTGACGGTCGTACCACCCAAGACTGAGTGTGTCGTATTCAGCATAGACGGGTCATTCACTGCTAGCGTCTCGATCATGGGTCGCGATCCCAAGGTCAGGGCAGGGGCAGTCGATGTTGTGAGGTAAGGATTAGAGGGATCAAGACCTGGCTGAAGCGCCCCTCTATACAAAAAAAATCCTCATCCTCATTAATAAGAATTACCCACACAAGGTACCTTTGAACAGTCTAGACAGGCCCGAGGTGAAAGCCGACGGTGTTTGGACTAGCTGTTTTGAAGGTACCGACTGTGGGTAATTTGACTTATGCCAGAACAAAATTATGTGTATTATTAGTTTTATAAGATTATGTTTTATTTGTTTTGTAACATTATGTTTATAACATGATTTTACTATTGACCGGTCATTAGCATTTGATAATGACCGGTCGTTATCAAAATTACATTGCATTCTGAAAAAAAAGATACTGCGTAGCATTGAATATACATTGAGACGAATAAAAAACATTGAATGAATAATATTACAAGCAAACTTTGAAAGGGGTATATACTTTAATTTGCACTGAAATTGAAAGTACTCGGCTTGATTCAATGCAAAGTGGAATCGATTTTTGTAGAGAAAAGCAAAACTTAAAATCAAATCAAATCAAACTGCATCATATCATATCACATCGCATCATTGGAATGACTGCCTAAAACTGAAAAGAAAAAATATTAGGATCTCTTCACTTGCATGTCAATTTCAAAGGATGCACTTGATCTAAAGTTTTAAAACCCAAATTTTCTTTGAAGTGATCTAAATGAATTTAAACCGATTGTAAATACAGGCATTGGCAGGAGCTGAACTACCTGATCATCTATGTGACGGCCAGACCCAGCATGCAGAAACAGAAGGTGGTCTCCTGGCTAGCCCAGCATAACTTCCCTCATGGTGTGGTCTCGTTCTGTGACGGCATCACCACAGATCCGCTCAGACAGAAAGCTAACTTTCTCAAGGGACTCGTAGACCAGGTTAGTCAAGTCATATACTTTATGTATCCAGCAGAATAGGGCAGTTTGATATGCAAACAATGGATACACATTTTGAGCAAGTTATCCAAACTATCCAAAGTTTTGACTGTTCTTTGCTAACATCCGTGCAATACACGTCTGTACATACATACAAGGTCCAAATTGTAAACAGTTTTTTTTTTTTTTTTTTGATTTAGCCATTATTTTCACAGTCCTATTAAACTGAACAGTATGGAAATTACCCAAACAAAATTTCTGAAGCCTTCTGCCAGGCACATAGTATATTTAGCCCATGTCACATATAAATGTACGGGTTGTTGAAGAAGAGAATATTTTCCAATTTCCCCCCTTTCATCATCAATAGTGATCTGTCAGTTTATGACAGGTTCAGTGATCCAATCAGAATTCTATATCAAGTGTCTCTCCAAGTACCTCGGTCTTGAGCCATCCGTTTTAACACTTCATATTCTGTTGCTACACATTCTGCTATTAAATCATCTAGAAAGCCTTTACAAGGTCTTCCCCTCTTCTTCTTTCCATGTAGACGACCTTCTTTGACTCTGATCATCAAACCATCATCATGCCACATTATGTGTCCAAGCCAATACATGTATAAACGGTTTCTACTCTTAGTAATCCTTGCTTTCACGATCTATTCTTGATATACAGAGCAAACTTGTAATCCACGCGGCGTACGGATCAAGTAAGGACATTCCTATCTACTCCAGCATCGGTCTCATACCCACTCAGATCTACATCGTAGGCAAGGTCTCCAAGAAGTACCAGGCACAAGCTGTGGTAAGTTCACAACCAGTTTGTCTCTCGTTGAGCATGTAGTTACCGTAGGCCAATTAAAGACTTCAAACTGGACTACTAGCCCCCTACAGACAAGTAACTACACAAATTAAGGGAAATTGAAAACTACCCTCTGGACCTGCAGCACCCCTGTTTATTACCTACCCCCCTCCCCCCCCCCCCCCCCCCCCCCCCCCCACCCCTCCTTAAAGCAGCTACTACTACCCAGGACACCTCTTGGACAGTTATCCTCTAGGTAGATGTTTAAGGTTTTTAAGATTGTCATATGGAGATGGTTGTCCAGTGGGTGAGTCTTTGGATTAAAACAAAATTACATTTACCATCACTTATTGAAGTAGTAGGGGATTGGGATTAATCAACAAGTTATGAATTGTCAATTAGATTGTTTGTGAAGAAGCAATCCTTTTATTTTCACCCTTTTCATCATCCCTTTAGGTCCTGAGTGACGGTTACGCAGCTCACCTTGACGGGGTCAGTCGATGTTCCCGCCCCGCCGTCGGCAACGCCCGCGTGGCCCTCAGGAAAGGCTGCTTCAGTCTCCCCGGCCAATCCAAGCCCGTTAGACCGGCCAAACAACCTGCTACTAGAACTGCATCCTACCACGGCACGAGCCCGTCTGCCCCTCCGGCTTCTGGGTCCGGATCGGGAGGGGAAGGGAAGAGTAGCGGGATGACACGCACGCTGAGTCGAGCAACGCAGGGCTCCGTCAAGTTTGAGGTGTGAAATCTTCGGAACTCTGATGTGGGACGTAGGTTCAGATGCTTTTGACAAGACGCTCTTGAGGAGAGGCTTTAATCTTGGATGTTATTCGTATGATGGCTCCAACTCGGAGACTGCGATGGAAATGAAATCTTTGAGATTGGCGGAGGAAGCTTTGTGCTGATGGTTTTGATGGTTATCCAGCATACGGGTGGTTTGAAGACTGAAAAACTCACAAAAAGACGAAAGGTATGTGCAATGAAGTGCGTGCATGGAGTACGTTGTGCATGCTCTGCCGTTGCACAGTGTTTTGCTGCACGGAAGAAGACAAACTTGAAAGGCAGCGATTCTCATGCTTCTCTTGTTGATTGGCCCAGCCCGTATGACGCAACTTGGTGGACTACCTGGTGACATATAACTTGAAAGCGCTTCACAGTTCACCACTGAAGAAGAAAAAAAACTGCTGTGCTTCAAATTGTTCACTTGTTAACAATCTTCATCAGGGGCCATCGATTACTAGCGCTCGGTCATGAGTCGGAGAAGACACATGTGTGAGAAGAACAAACTATCAACTACGATGTTGCTCTATCGTATACATATATATATATTAATATATAACTTTAAAGAATAATTGTTTGATGAACCAAACTTTTGAAAGTTATCTTCAAAATCCTACTGAATCGAATGCATTCCAGTGTATGTTATTGCAAGTCGGTGAACTAAAGAAAACTTGTAATGATTGCAAGCAATGAGTATGAATATATGTCTGCTGTGGAATTGAACAAAATATTCTTTTATTTTCCTTCCACTTTGTCAAAAACTGATATAATCTCTTAATTTTATTTATGTTTGCGCAAAATAATAACAAAAACATTTAAGCACATCTAGGTATTAAAGACCAAATGAATTGTAAAATAATACTTTATTATTGGAAAATTTCATAATCTTTAAAAAAAGATCTTGTGTTCCCTTATGTGAAAATTATGTTTTGATACTTAATCTAGTGCTTTTTTGTTTATTTAATTTTTAAGATTTGGAAAAAGTGTATTTATGATGTAATACTTATCATTTGATTTATTAAAACAATTTACACAAGCAAACAAATTTCATCCTGAAAGTCTAGTTCACTTCCAGCCATGTGAGTTTTATCATTTCTAGAGAAGTGAAATATATATATAACCCTGTGTCATATTCACTTATTCACACATTTTATCTAGAAAAAGAAATTGCTTTCCCGTGAAGGAATTTTTGTACCTTTTCTTTCCTCAGTTTTCTATTTAAGCCACAAGTTGCCAGTTTCTGACTTTATACAAAATTCTTCACGAGACTGATAGATATTACCTATGCTCTTTTTTTATTTTTGTTATGTTGAACCTTTGCATGTTTTTTATGAGGAGGTTTTTTCCCCTTCAATTTCTTAGGTGATATTTGGGAATTTCTTTCATTCATAGAAATCCTGCTAATTAATCATGCATATTTTCTCTGTCTATCTCGCATATTCTCAAACAAAACTAGTTTGTGTTGTGTGCCATAGTCTCCCAAGATAACAATTTTGCAATGTCAGTCAAGACTAATTTTCAGGTTTGCCAATTTTAAAGACATTTGCAAATATTTCTAAAGGCCATGAAACTATAATCAATACCACCCTTTTTTCTTTCATTTGCTTTAACCTTTTGATATCCTACTTCTAGACTATATTCAATTTTATTCCAAACTGCTTTTAATTGTAGACTAGGGACCAAATAATAATTGGACCCAATGAAACTCCTGTGCAGGCTGTGGAATACTTGGAATATTTGATCATTTTAAATGCAAAATGTCATCGTGTGGAGAATTTGAAAGTGAATCATTTTAAGTAGAAAATTGTATGAAATCATGTAATGTTGCTGTTGTCTACAGTATATGGTTTTTACTTCTGTTTCGTTTAACTTTTCCTTTTTAATTTAATTTTAATTTTTAGATTCTGTATGAAAACCACTGCAGCAAAATGTTATGCCTTGAAATTTGTTTCTCCATGCTGCAGCCTGATGTCATATATGTCTTCTGTTTTAATACCCAACATCAAATAATTAAGATTCATGAGAAAAATGGTGTTAAATCTTAAAATAGTTTGTCAATTACAAGTGGCTATAACTTGATGCTACTGAAATCCCTGCATTTGATTTCCTGTGGGCAAATATATCATACCGTACAATATCTGTAACATGTAGCTTTGCAGGAGTTTTATTGAATAGGGCCCAGTTATTGCTTGCTTCCTGACTTAAATATAAAATAAATTTGTCAATTTCTGCAGAAAGTCTCAATTTTCTCACTTCCCAGAATGAGAGAGTTAGTTATGATTTAGCTATGGCTATAATGAAACATACCGGTAGTCTATCAAAATTTAGCCAATCTTACCAAGGGATTTTAAAGGTCACTAAAATGTTAGTAACATTGGATTATTGAATTACCTCATGCCTGTAAGGTTAAATACAGTAGCGCATGGTTCCTGTAGGCTCAAGAGCCCAACTCATCGTGTAGGTAGTGGTGTAGTGGTCGAGTGGATACGTCCCTGGACTGTCAATCACAAGGTCCACGGTTCGAGTCCCGCCACGGCACTAATGTCCTTTGGCAAGACCTAATTGATCTACATTTGCCACACTTAACCCAGGTGATATTTCTCCATGCTTAAGAAAAGCCGTTTTGAATTCTATTACCTATTTCTATGAGTGATGTAAATAACTGTATGCAATATGGGCCTTTAAATAGGATAGAGAAATCGTCAGCAGAGAGCCAGAGGGGCGTTAAGTCTGAAAATTATATGACTTAATTCCTTTCTGACCCTTAGGCGATAAAAGATTGTCCAGCGTTGGAAATAACTGAATGTTTTATGATTACTGAAGCAGGGTTTCTATCTGTATCGAACGTCCAATACATGTTTCAGTGTATGTGTATGGTTCTAGAATAGCCGTGTGTACTATGCAGTGAAAGAAAGAGAGAGAGAGAGAGGTGAAATGAATCTTGGTATTGGATAATTCATGAAGGCTTGTTCAGATATGGCACTGTAAACCGCTGCAAAAAGCTACCACATAAAAAAAAAATATGTGTATATGAATGGCAATTGTGTGCAACAAGGGGCTTGTGGGTATTCACTGAGCTCTGTGTTGTAAGATACAGAAATGTGAAGTGTATTAAACTTTATGTCATAAAAAAACGCCATAGTTTTGCAGTGTCATAATTAACTGAACAGGCCTCGAAGCCCCATTCTGACACGATTCTGATATATGACAGAATTTTTTATTTTTTAAACAAAATGTGTTCCACAAAAAATGCATGTACCGGTAAGTGAATGGCAAGATAAAAACTGAATTTCTCACAGACCCCCAACCCCCCCCCCCCCCCCCCATGAAAATCATACTGAATATAAAAATTATATAAATAGAGGCTGCCAAGTCAAATGTAAAATGAGCAAAGATAGATGTGAGAATCTGGTCGGCCATGATGTACAGAAAGTTGCTTACTGATTACTGACCTCTATCAATTTATCCTGTGCTTTTATAATTGTTTGATCACATTTTCTTCTTTTTTACCTTGCTTTATTTTTATATAAATAGCCCTTTCAATTTTGAAGTGTGATTCTATTTGAAAAAGAAGAGCTGTTCCTATTGGTAACTTAATCTAGTGCTGTGATACACTTTGAAAAGCACTACTATGGAGTACTGTAGATAAAGAAAGCACATGGGACTTCTCACTCTCTTTTCTTTTACCGTTTCCATACTTTGATAAATTCTTGAATCTAATGCACCTTTAGGTTATATATGCACCATAAGCTAACTTCCTATATGAAAAAGGATTACAAAGTAAGCTGTTATTACAAATCATAGAAGAATTTGTATGTTTGAATAAGGAAATTAAATCATGAATACAATTTGGCTTTGTTTGATTAAAATACATTGAAATTTTCTCAGTTGTATAGAAGTCATCGTGAAGATATACACAAATCATGAAATTAATGTTTTGTTTATGTTGTTTGTTGGTATTTTATATTGCATGATACATTGAAATGATGATTAAAGTATTTATTGCTGGTGTTTTTTTATGGACATAATTTTATGAAAAGAATGCTGTAAACACTGTACAAAAAAGAGGCATTACATATATTTGAGCAAAGCTTTTTGCAAAAATGTGAGAGAGAGAGCAAGAGAGAGGGAGAGTCGTATTGAGAGAACAAGATACATAACGAATGCTATTGTACAATTGTTGATATTATGTAAATATTGTACACATCTTCAAATATCATCTATCTGCACAGCTATTAAACTACTGGAAGTTTTATGGTACATGTACCGATTCTATGTTGATGATGTTGAATGTTATTTCAAATGTAAATTAAAGAAGAAGAAAAAATCAACAAAACAACTAGAATTAGCCTTTTTATGAATGCTATTTAAACCCAACTGAGGTGCAATCATGTACATGTGTGTAAATTCTGAGGGGGAAAAATGCTGTATGTTTGAAAGCGAAAGTATTTATTTGATATTTTTGAATAAGCATAATAGCGTTGGACAGGCTTGTCCCTATACGTGGATGGATCAATATTGTTCATGTGTTTTTATGTCTTGTGTCATGAAATATCTCTTTGTGTATAAATGTATGTCGGCATCTCTTTTCTTCGTTTGATGGAGTCTCTGTGTGGAATATGTGAGTCATTAACTGCAACAAGTCGAGATGACAAGTCTAGGATGTGGACTGAACTTTCTCGATATCTGTCAACTTTATTTCCTTCTCGTCTCCAAAATGGAATATGGTCACGATGCTGACTAATAGGAAACTTTGATCTTTGTGAAAGGAATTACCCTTTTCCCCAGCTTTAAATGTTAGGGACAAACTCATGAGTGCATGCTGTATTGAACTCTAAAACGGGTGTAAGGTGTCTTAAAGAAAATAAAAAGGAAAAATCCAAACATTGGATGGTGTTCACAAAGAAAATTGAATACAAACGAAAAGGTAGAATTGTTAAATATACCAAATGGATTTCATGATGCTCATTTCTAATAAGAAGAGAAATAGAAAGGAAAAGCTGGTTAAACTACCTAAAACAAGAATTCTTAGTTTTTATTTGATTGACAGTCACAAAAATAAAACCAGCATGATATATATCAATATCTATCTGTGTATGTGTCTGTAGGAAAGACTTGAATACTCCGCGATAGTGTCACATACTTGATTTTGATTCTGATTTTGATTCTGATTTTTTTTTTTTTTTTTTTTTTTTTTTAGATTCAATTTTTAATTTGTTAATTTTCATAATAAGAAATGGTCATGAAACTCAAGCGAAATTAACAGAGAAAGCAAACTTGCAGTGCCAGTTGAGTAGATCTGAGTTTGACTAGATTTTAAGATTGTTAACAAATGAGCATTTATACCTCAAACTGGGGTTCAAAACTGCCAAAAAAATGTCTGTTTGGAGCCTGAAGGGCATTAACTCATATATTTTAACACATCGTTAACGCTCTCTGGCTCTAAACAGACGAAATCCTTCTGTAAAATCGCAGAACCTTTCTTTTATATTTCGGGCATTACCAAGTTTGACAAGTATTATCATCCAACATATTTTAATGTTTTTGCCACAAATTTGGACAATTATTAGGACATATTTCTTGCAATGAATATCGGTACGAGTTATGTTATTTGTTGACTTTGCTATAGAGACTGATATTGCAAATTAAACATCATTAGATCTTGCGTGTCAATATGTTGTTCAGTATATTCGCGGTATCGCAACCTGTGAAAATCAGTACTATTTCTGTTAACTTAAATCTTGGTGATGAATTAGCTTCGTTTCCGAGTAAAAAAAAAAAATGGGTTGATATTTTTTACTTACATGTAGCTTTTTCGCAGTTCAATATCTGGTTGGTACATGAAAACAAACCTAGAAGTTCATACATTGTAGACATGTAAAGTATCTACTTGAATTGTGTTAATAACTACTTTATACTGGAAGGTATCTGCATTCTAACACAACTACAATAAATATATACAATTACAACAGATCATTTTAATGAATATCATCAGATTTTTGAGAATAATTATTACATTGCTTTTAACTCTGGTTTAAATTGCTTGTTTTCAAATAAATTGATTTAATTTATAATTTGGAAAGTCTGTGATTGCTGCCAAATGATCCGAAAGCGCTGTTATTTGCAAGATTTAAATTCAAATCCTGCCTGGAATCACAAGGCTAATAAATATTAAAAGTAAGCATATTCCAATCAATAGTACATGAATATGTGATGCAGTTACACATCTATATACATATATAAACCTCATGAATTCATTTTTCTTTTGATGTGATGATACTATATTGCCAAGTTGTAGTTTTTCGTTATGCAATTTAGATACTCAGTGATGCTGAAAAAGAAATCGAAAGTTTCAAATACTAAGCCTGCCATTTTCTTGACCTGTGACATATGCTTTCTACCTCTGGCCACACAACAAACGAAAGTTAATAAAATGCGAATTGGGCCATGTGGTCGCAAATGCTTGTCATCATTTTATTTTGACTTCTGTTCTGATTATTTAGTATTCCTGATACCGGTAATCATATGAAAAGGAAAAAATTTGTTTTGAGGAAAAGGAAACTAATAAGTGTATGTGAATGTTGCATCAGGCATTGTGAGAGATAATTCGTACATGTAATTCAGATTGTTTTCAATAATGGTTACTTCATATCCTTTATTCAAGATCAATGTATGCGTCTGTTGCGCCAATTTGGAGATTCATTTTTATTGGATACTGATTTAATATTTCTGTTTACAAGTGGGTCTTGATTTGTACAAAATTCCTTCTTTATAGGAAACCATTTTAGAT